TTTCTGCTCTTGTATTTGGGCACTAAAGAGAACTAAAGAGAACAATTTGTTTTCGTTCCCAGATAGATGGGACAACATTTTCATAGATATTTCAGGAGATTTGAGCACTTCATTCCCCTTCAAAAATGTGGAAATTTTAAACTCCTTCCTGCCCCCAAACGAGTTCGCGTCTCACTGGGATAGAGCAGAGCCATAGTTTTTTTGAGTTCTCAAATAGATTATACTACGTTTTAATAAATATTTTAAGAGAAACAATCATACTCCTTTCGCCTGCAAAGAGTCGCTGTTTAACTAATGAAAGAGTACTAGATCTCACTAGGATAGAGGAGGCGTGGAAGAGAGGTGATACGCTTCCTCTCTCTTTCTCTCTCTGAGAACAAGACAGAATAGGAATAAAGGGATTCCTTAAAAGCGTAAATAATCCCAAAGAGTCCCGAATTCTTGAACACCACTTTTTGGGGATGTCACAATTCTTATTTTGATCCGAGAATGGCCTTCTTTACTCAATGATTTTCCACCAGGGATAGCGTCGACGGTGAAGATACTTAATAAATATATCTTCAAAGTCAATCAATGGAGAATAAATAGTTCCTTATCAATATAATTTCCACAGCATTTTAACACCTATTATCATATCAATATCACTTCCTCAGTACTTTCATCCCTACCGTTTCCACGCCCATTTGAAAAATCTGTAATCTGTGGTTGCCCTTGTGTCAAGGTCGTTTCAGTGGCTCCATTCACCGTCCCACAGTGCCACACTGCGACCGACACGCGGCACGACAATTGAATCAAGTTCGTTGCTGCAGTCTTTTGTTTTGTTTTGCCATCCACTTTCCCGGTTTCCCCACAATACAACCTGCAGCAGCCAGGGGGAACCTGAACCTGTCACACCCCGTCCTCCCCCCTCCCACCTGCCAGACCCCCTCCTACTGGCCAGCATTTTCCAATTACATTTTCAATATTCGGTGCTTGTCCGATGCTCTCCTCTGCCGTTCGATCGATCGGCTTCCACTCCGCTCTGCCGCTCCTCTGCCGCTCCGATCCAATATATAATCGAAATCCAATCCAAAATCGAATCGAATTGCTCTCTTTTTTCACAACTTTTCGAGGCGGTGCACACACACAAAATTCACACACAACAACAAAAAATATATAATGAAACCAAAAAAACCAAAAATTAAATGGCAGCAAAATACGAGCACGCGACTGGAGTTGGGCCTCGGGCTTTGAGTTGATTTTCGGTTTGATTTTGATTTGTATTTTTATTTTGGCTGCGACTGCGACTGTGGTTTCGGTTTATGTTTTTGTTTATGTTTCGAATCGGTTTCGGAATCGGTATCGGGGCTTGGCGCATGCGCGGCCTGCAGACCATTTTCAATGAGCGCTCGAGTTGTACTGAAGCCAGAGCTGCCGCTGCGGCTGCCTCTGCGGCTGCCTCTGCGGTTGCGTCGTCAACTTTGAAGTGTGGCTGGAAAAGAGAGCGGTAGCAACAGCAGCAGCAGCAGCAGCAGTGCCTCTCTAGAAGCTGCCACTGGGAGGGATTCCATTCGATTCATTTCGATTCTGTGCCAAAGTCTGCAGCCGAATCGTTGTCTATTGCCCCCGAGGCGTGACCTGTCATCAGCCGCAGATTCGATTCATAGCTTAAGTGTCTCGCTTACCTTGACCAAGTACACTGCGATCGGATCCGACCACGATCGGCTCTCCGATGCTGGAGGGGGAAGGTGAACAGCATTCTGTGGACAGGTTTTGGGTCCATCTTCACTCCAGACATTTCACTTTGGTCAGCAGCGGCAAGCAGCATCATCGTCGCCTTTCCCCCAATTGACAAATTCAAATTTCTTGGGTTTTCTTTCTCTCGCACGAGACGCACTTTCGGGGTGGAGGGGACCAAATTGATTTGGTTTTTGATTACAATGCGTCGATCTCATTGTGGTCGCTGCTCTCGTTGCATAATAAACAGACAGACTGTGTAGTGGGGGACTGGGAGATGGTGGAGCTACTGCAATATGTCGATCGTATGCCTCAATGCACTTCCACTCCCCGTCGAACAGCCTAACTACTGTGATCTGATTCATGGGGAAAACTAAAGATAAGGAAAGAAAAAATTGTAGAAAACCCGGCTTATGATTAACTTATGGGATCCAGTTCCTCAATGGCACTTCAAAGATGTTTCACTCTTTTATAATCTTGTACAATTTTTATTTAAATGTATAGATACCTTGAACAACAATCTTTTTTTTAGCTCCCCGTTCTAGTTTTCATATCTAGAGCAGCGGTGTTCATACCTTTCCTACCAACTGTTGCTCCCATCTATTGATTCCATTCCATCCCATATTCTTAGAAAGCACAAACAAATAACAGACGGAGTTGTCCGCAACCGAGAATCGAGACAGAAGTTCGAGCGAAGTACGAGAAGTACGTAATGTGCGAGGCCGAGCCTCCTTAGTAAGGATTCTTTTTGTTGCTTAGTTCTTGGATTATTTTTAGATTATCTCTCTTTTTGGGCCCTCGCAATGGTTTGGGGTTCGTATTGGGGTCCGTTGGTAAATCTCTTCACTTTGACGCGCTTGACATATGGAGTAAGTAAAACGATTATTTTGTTGGTTATTTGTAACATTTGCCATTTGCACAGAAAGATGGTTACCTTACCCAAAGATGAAATGGTTACTCCCTTCCGAGGGGACCCCTGTTTTTGTCTGTGACAACATTTGACACAATTTAACGCTGACGCGACAAATTTCGTCTGCGGCTTTGGCGTTTGGCTTGAGTTGTGCCGCACTTAAATCATTTTTCAGGGGGAGCAGCCCAACAACTTGGTGTGGAGACAAGAGGCCTGGCGGGGCAGAAGAGGCTTGTGCTTAGGGGCTGCGGACTGTAAGGTTTTTCCAAGTGCTTTATATTTGGTGCGCTTGCGCTTTGACTTTGCCTTTTGCACACACTCCGAATTGCAACACAAAATAATACAAGACACAGCCACAAAAAACTTAAAAAAAAAACGAAACTGAAGCTTAAATAAAAACGGAAAATGACAAAACCCATAAACTCTTGACATGACATGGCCAAAATGCTGGGGAGGTGGATGTGGAGCGGAATGCAGGGCTGTGTGTCATGGAATGGAACTTTGGAGCATCGCAGGGGCCAAAATGTGAAGTGCTGTCGGTACTTGCAAAATTACAGCCACTGATACTTACGAGTACCAAGCGTTTATGCGTGGAGGTGCCCCGAGAGTTCTCTGGCAGTCCATCATGCATCTGAAATACATTGTGTCATGTCATGCCGTCAAATCTTTCTGACAACCTGTGTAGCTCTCCATTAAGAGCAGAGTTCTCTGAGTTGGTTGTGATAAGGCGTTGGCTGTGTCCGCGTTGCCGGTGCTCCCCTCCCTCCAATGTGTGCTGTGCCTGCTTTTACTTTATTCGGCCATTCACTTTCTCCGTGTGTTGTTTGCTTTGCTAATTTCGGATTTGACTTTGCTGCCGTAGTCTCTCTCTCTTTCTCTCTCTCTTCCGACCAGCAACAAAAGCAGAGAAGTGAACGAGAGAAAAGTGAAACAGACAGCAAACAAAACGGACGCAAAATCGCTTTTTTCTATACCATTTTTTTCGAGGCGTAAGAGTGCTATGATTTTGAGCAGAGGTTGAACAATTCAAAGAAGGAAGCACCTCTTGCTCTATCTATTTTTTAGCAGCATAAATAGTCGAGTCTATGAAGCCATTGCACTTCAGGGAGAGCATTTTAATAGTATATTAGTGTATCACAAGCTTCGGCTTTGCTGCCTTAGGGGAACGCAGTATGCAAAAATTCAAAAGAAATTATTCAATCGCGTGGCTAAGATTATTCAATCCAATCCAAAACCAATTCGTTTCCAACCCAACCCAATCCGCATATGCATATGCATGAAATGGTTATACGAAAACCAGATCATTTCTCTAATTATATACTGACGTCACATACATATTTCATCATTCATTAATTGTGCCAATTCTAGCCCGTGAATTAGTGAGCATCACTATTCAGCTTGCGGCGCAATGCCAAGTTCGTTGCCCAAGAGACGCTCGCCGGATTGAATTTCACTCTGCAATCTCTGTCTTTGGCGACCATTTATTGACCGTAAGAGTAAGACCCCCAATCAATCGATCGTCAATGTTGTTCGGCTTGTTAATTAGCATCGAGATTAGCTGCAAATTGTATGCAGACACGCGGCCGCAGGCAGGCCGCGCCATGCGATTGTGCAAGATCCTTCCTGTGAGCCGTTGTTAAATTATTTATGTTTTTTCCTCGACCGATTTGAAGAATTTAAGTATACTCGTCAAAAAATTGACAAATTTCCCATAACTGAATGACTCCTCCTCCCAGTTCGGTTGCATAACAGCCGAGACGACCACGACAGTCAGGCCTGTTCCAGAGACAAACAACACTTGAGCCGGCACTTGAGAAGAGAGGAGGAGGGAAAGTCAAAGTCCCGCCCCGGCAATGTGTGTTTGCTGAACACCAAGGCAAACAGGAAGGAAACCCAAGCCAGCCTCACCCTCTCTCCCATTCTCCTACTGACAAGCAAAATAAGATTAAAAGATTGGACCAGAGGTCCATTTGAATTAGATTTAATTTGGAAGCTGAGATTTATGAGCCGGCCAGGCATGTAAATGAGTTGTTGGCTGTGGCAAACCGAAAGTAGGCGAAGGTTGAAAAGCAGATAATTTAAGCGTCGCTCGAATATGAGTCAATTCAAAAGCTTTTAATGTGTTTGTATTCTAATCGGGAGTTAAACCAATTTGAATTTTGATTTTGAATCGGTTAGCGGGTACAACGCAGTGCTGCCAGTACGGCCAGCTATCGATACTCTCGGTATATATCGATGTATCGATACAACTATCGACTGTTTTGTAGAGCAGACAGCTGGTCGCCCCCGTGCATGTGTTGCCATGTATGTGTGTGTGAGTGGATTTATTCATAGCGAGAGAGGTTCTAAGGAAAATCAGAAGTTTTGGGGATGTGAAATAGGTTTTTATATAATATTAGTACCCATATACACACACATTAGTCTTAACGAAACGAAATTATCAAAGTAATAGCACCACACACCTCAATCATAGACGAGTGCGGGCGAAGAAAGGCAGCGAACGACAATTTTGCATTTGTGTGTGTGTACTAGAACACTATTGCTGCTGTATGTGTGTTTGGTTTTGTGTGTGAATGAAAAACCTGCAACTGTGAAAAAATATAACCAAAAATAAAGGCAATTCGGGCGGCGGCAGCGGCAGCGCCAACGACGACTACGGTTGTGGCCAGTGCGAAAGTGCGTTGACTTGGTCGCAATCCGAAGCGCAGCAGGAGCAGCAGGGCGGGTGAGTGCATCTATATGCCCACACTTGGTTTTGGCTTGAGGACGAACCAAAGTTCCATTCACTCCGCCGCACTCATTCACTCCTGTCCTCTCCCGCTTTCTTCCCGCAGGATGGCGGACGCTCAGCAGCAGCAGCAGCAGCAGCAACAGCAGACGCAACAGACGCCAGCGGTGGCTACTACTACAAGTGGCAAGAAAAAGTGCAAAAACAAGAAGAAAACTATTGAAAAGCAGCAAGAGCAGCAGCAGTCACAGCAGAATAAACAGCCAGTCGAAAATGGCCATGCCGGCCATGAGGCTGCAGAAGTAGTGTCGGATGCCGATCCAGAGCTACAGCAGAATGAGCTTCAATTTCAGGCGCTGAAACTTGAGTTCCAGCAGTTGCATATCTGTAATGGCCATGGCGATGGAGAGGAAGCAGAGGCGTCTAATGCCACGCCCCTGCCAGCACTGAATGGCCATGCACATGGCCACAATAACAACACCAACAATAACAATCACATCCGAAGCAGCAACACTAACAGCAGCAACAATAGCCATCACGACAACAACGTGGACAGCAGCAACAATAATAAAGCGAAAAGGAACAACAAGCAGAAGAAGCATCAGCAGCAGACCACCACCATAACATCCACAATAGCCACAAGCGACACCACTGCCAACACACAAACAACCACAGCAACAACCACAAAGACAACGCCGACAGCAATCGGAACGGGGGCTGGGATGGCGCCATCGACCTCAGCTGAGGCTGGAGCACCAGGTGTCCCAGATGCAGATGCAGTCGCCTCGCCCACAATTGAGCTCCAGCTTGAACCTGCCACATTAGCCACGGAGATTGTCTACAAGGAATACGAGGCCGAGCATCAAATGCACGTGGGTAGACTCAATCTTTGGCTTGGATTTGTAAACCGTTTGACTACTTTTTCCCTCCCCCTAAAACCCTCATTTTCATTCCAGGACATTATGCGTCTGATCCAGGCGGAGCTCTCCGAGCCTTATTCGATATACACGTATCGGTATTTCATTTACAACTGGCCAAAACTGTGCTTCCTAGCCTCGCATGATAATCAGTACGTGGGCGCCATCGTATGCAAGCTGGACATGCATATGAACGTGCGACGCGGCTACATAGCCATGCTGGCGGTGCGGAAAGAGTATCGCAAACTCAAGATCGGCAGCACCCTGGTAACCAAGGCCATTGAGGTAAGTCTGAGAGAGCAGTGCCTGTAACTGAACTGAACTTTCGTTCTTTCCACTTTGTGCAGGCCATGCTGGCGGACAATGCCGATGAGGTGGTGCTCGAGACGGAGATGCGCAATGAGCCGGCGCTGCGTTTGTACGAGAATTTGGGCTTTGTGCGTGATAAGCGACTGTTTCGCTACTATCTAAACGGCGTGGATGCGCTGCGCCTGAAGCTCTGGTTCAGATGAGTCGAGCCGGCGGCTGCCGTTGAAATTGTCGTCTAAAAGTAGCCGCCAACGCCAACACCTTCGCCGAATACGACGACGACACCGCCAGCAGCATCAAACAGGAGCAGCAGCATCAGCATTACTTCCAGGCCACTGTTTTGCAGTGTGGTCCAATGTCCCTGCTCATCGGCGGCTAAAGATATCTTTTTTTTTGTACCTATTCAAACTTAGGTTCACCCCATCCTTGCTCCCTGACCTCCTGTCTGCCTCCCACTATATTTCCGTTTTGTCTCACTCTCTCTCTCTCTTTAAATTGTAAATTATTTTACGTACTCTTGCTTTCTTCCTTCCTTGATTCTTTGTTTAAACGTATGGCTTATACATATAAAAATGGGACTCGACTCCCGGTACAGCATTGAAGTACTTTTACAGAAGGCAATTTTTGTATGGAAATACGTGATTTACATGCGTAAAAGAAAAACTATACCTTAAGTTCGTATGCGAGCAATTAGTTAATTACGTTTAAAGCTACCTTTTAATAGGCAATAGACATGCGGCATTTCGTATCGAATATGAGAAGAAAATCATCACGTAAACGCCACCCACGATTCAGATGCCACACGGAATGCATTCATATATACCCCACACATACACAGAGAAAAAGCTATACACCTAGAATCAGATTTTTTTGTACAAAAGATATCCCAGGAGCCCAGGAGATCAGGAAGGAAATTCTACGAACAACTCAACTGTATATCAAAAAAATAAAAACAAATTGGAACAAAATTAAGGGAAAAAAACACACACAGAACACACGCACGCATATTGTAGCGATATATATATAGATATATATACATACATACCTGTGCGGCTGTACAATTGCGAGTGTAATAGGTTTATCGACGGATCGATCGATCGATCATGCAAGATGGAGACTTCTAGTTCAAAATAGTGGCCCCTCCCCCCTCTCTCCAAAGTGGATGCCTTAACTCATCTTCGACTCTCATCCCCGGCCCGCCCCGGTCCGTTCTGGTCTCGGTCTACAATCAAAGTGTCATCATCCATCTACCCATCCCGAGACCATTGGCCGACATTTCCCTATCGGCTCCCCCACGCCCAAGTTTTGTTATGGAAAACCCCGCCCCCACACCGCCACACAGCCCACACATAAATGAAGATGAGGTGAATCAAACCCCATGAAAACTAATATTGAAAGAATGCAATAAAAAATTTCAGCAATTACGACCGTTTTCTGGGAAAATTACTTGGAGGAAAAGGGGCAATCAAAAGATACCAATCGTTTTTGCTGGAAAGAGATTCGAAGATTCACTTTTACGTTTGGGGCTACAGCATGTAGAGAGTGATCATTCATACATAAGAAACATTCACGGATGCAGACTAGTTCCAATCGATTGGATCTGTTTAAAGCCCAACAGCTTGTTCCTAAGCATCCACTTTATTGGTTGAAGTAAAGTACTTAGACTGACCTTTGATATTTCATTACCAGCATCCATAATTTCGATGCGCACAACAGGTCCTCGAAGTTATTCCCCACATTTCAGTGGATACGGTCTATTGCAACTTAATCTATCGGTTGGGTCGGATCTGAGGTGTAGCGGAATATATATGTAAGTGCAGACAAACTCCACTCCACACAAAAAAGATCACGTACAAATATACGAGTATGCTTGGATACTCTGCAGCTCGCTCAAGTCTTAGCCTGGGCGAGAATTATATAAAATCAGTTCTCTCATACGCAAGAAACCGTGCGATCATTCATATTCTGTTCTGCACAAAAATGTGACTTTACAGAGGCCCCAAGATCTTATTCTTAAGGATCTTGAGCTAGAGTTTTAGAGTAAAAATCGTTGATAACACAGCTAAATAAAAGAAAAATGTTGGTTCTGATCGGGGGGTCTGACTATGTGTACCTTATGTCTTGGGTGTGGCTGAATCCGAATCCCAGATGCATTTTTCAACAGGTACTCAAGATTTTTGAATAACTTAAAAAAACCAAAATGGCGGAAACTTAATTGAAACATTCATTGGATTCGATTGCAACTCTTTACTCGGGGTCACTTTGAGGTCATTTATTACGAATGGGAGTTCAGTTCTCAAAAAATCAAAGTGGCGGATCCGATTTGGCCGACAATATTGTATATTTTCCCCGGACGAATATTTCTCTGACCTTGTTACATCTAAATCTTCCTCTTTTAAATGGATCTCTTGGAACTAAGGCCTCAAATCTTAGTCATAAGGATCCACTTGTATGGTTGGGCTACAGTTTTTAGAATGATATTTGATCTATGATCGTCATAATAAAATAATCATTCCAGCATCGCAACTTTTCGATACACAGAACACTCCGTCCTCGAAGGTCTCACATAATTTTACACGACGACTAGTGCCAATCGTTTGGGTCGAATGGGGGTGACATAACATCTTGGTTACATCTAAAGATCCAATCTTCTGCGTGAGCTCTGATCTGTGGTCTTCTTCTACTTATGTGGGATGTTCTGTGGTCGTTATTGAAGTCCCTAGATCTTGCACCTAAGAACCTAATCTGATGACTGGGACTACAATTCGTAGACAGAGATCTCTGGTATTTCATCCATCTGTTCATCCTCGCCGACATGCCATATCCCCGTAGACGCAGACGAGCGCTCAACAGTTGGATCGCGGTACTCAGGTCCCAAGATCTTGATCTAAAGTTCGTAGAGTGATAATATTTGAGTCATTAGCATTATCATCTTGGGACGTAAGTTTGGTTTTCCATCACAAAATATCTTCGATAGTAATCTGATAACGTTGGTTTTTATTTATCATAAAAAAGTGATTTAAATACTCAAAATTTTACTTTTGTTAAGTGGATCCTAGACTTACGAGCGAGTATGCTACCTTAATGGGAAGATTAAAAATATTGAACAACATTCAGTTTCAGTTTCTGTTTAGCCGGCTTCTTAAGCTAATTGCCAGGTCAGTGGTCAGACTAACTCTACGTATGTACACGGGTCTACACGACGGGTTATAGACAACGGTGTCCTATCACCTGCTGCGCCTGTTCTTGGTGCTGGGACTGGGGGCTGCCGCCGCACTAGACGAGCCCCGTAGCTGCTTTAATTCTGTGCGCGTTGCGGCCTTGATGCTCTGCACCTGCTGCCGCACCGAGACGTTTTTATAGGCCACAGAGGGAGCCGCTGTCGCCACGGCTCCTCCAGTCGAGGCCGGACCTATCGTTGACTGTAGCTGCTGATGCTTCTCCTCGAAGAGATCGCTGACCTCCACCATGCGAGGCTTAAAGAACATATTCGGCCGAATGATGGCCTTCTCGGGATGCTTGAAGAGGTTGAGCAGGCCCCAGGTTTCCTCTTGGCGCTCGCTCTGCGGCAGCGATGAGTTTTCCACCTCAGACTCGAGAATCCAGGCGGCATTCCGCACCTCGATGCGCAGCCGTTCGCACTCCTCCAGGCTCACGTTCTTGCTCACGTTTAGGAGCTGCTCCAGCGGATTCACAATGTACATGGCCGAGTGATCCGGCTTCGACAGCTGCCGGCCCTCGTTCAGGGAGATAGCCCGGTTGTGGAAGTCAAACTGCGAATAGAACTCAAAGAACTGCAGCAGTAGCTCGCTCAGCGAGCTCGTATTCCGGCTCTGGAAGCCCACACGCTCCAGGTCCCGGCCGAAGGTGCAGTTAATCCCGTCCTCGGTGACCCTCACATCTTTTGCTTCAGCCGCCTTCACAAGAGCCCCAATGGTGGGCAGTATGGGCTGGCGCAGCTGCTGCAGAAAGTACATGACCAGGCAGGTTAACGAGAAGTTGCTGATCCAGCGCCCCGGCGATGGATTCGTCAGTCCGCAGGCCTGCGCCCAGCGTCGAATGCTGAAGGTAAGCGGACGCACTCGAGGATCAATCTCCCCGAACATATACAGCAGCTCGGACATGTAGAAGCCAGATCTGAAACGAGAGAGAGAGCAACACAGTCAGATAGGATGAGTACTACGCAACCGCGTTGAGAGAATAGAGAACTGACCCATCCCCACTACCACCAGCACACTCCGGATGTGAGTGCAGTCCCCTCCCGAAACCCCTAACCGTCGGTGAATCATGGCCATCGGCATGCCAGGGGAGGACAGACAGCCGGATAGAGAGAGCTGATTCACCTGCTGCTGCTGCCCCAAAGAGAGACGCAGAGCGAGCGCCTTGTGTGGCAGTGGCATTTGGCAATAGCCACCTGTCGCTATCTAATCTTATCGAGGCTGGGGCCAAAGCTTTTGCCCGTTCTGCCTCGGGGTATCTTATCTTAGGTCTCTCCCAGCCTAGGCCTGGGCTGCCATGGTATGTTGTCACCAACGTATCTCTGGCTCTGGCTCTGGTTCTGTGGCCTGGTCAAAACGATTTCAACGAACGAACCCAACGGAGCACTTCCTTTTGCTGCCACGCAAGTTTATTTTTTTTTTGCTGGTGACCAAAAGAAAATCTACCAAAACAAGGTGAAAAATACAATATGAATTAATCCCAAGAGTTTCCGGGAGAAGTGTGAATCCCAAACGATTCTGGGAGAAGTGTGCTGGGAGAAGTGGATACCCAAAAGGATTTGCGCGATTAAGTCTTTGCATGGCTAAAATATCGTGAAAGTTATGGCTGGAAAAACGAGATCCCAGAGGTTTCCTTCCGACCTCGAACTATCTTAAAATGTATGCTCTGAAGAGACGTTTCCCCAAGAAAGGATTACAGACACATTTCCTTGAAGGAACGATCTGTTTTTGCACAGTTTCTACATGGCTTACATGACCATTCCATGGGTTCAGCTCTGGCATTCCTGCTTTTGGTTTGGGAGTGTTGCAATTGGAACTGGTATTAATCATCTAGTGCGTGCGGGGCGGCTCCTGATAACGCTATTTGCTAAACACAATTCCGATAAGGCGGCCAACAGAGAGAGCGCCGAGCCATAAACCAACCAACATCGTGATTAATACAAAAAAATGCTGCTAGGGTAGGGCGGGAGCTTTTGGTATGTGACTCAAGAGAGAACCAAATCAAAAGGAAAGGGTAGATTAATCACTTGAGGATCACTTGATTCCCAGGGAATACATGGGACCTCTTGTTCAATCATCTATTAACTGTTTCTTTCCCGTATTTCTTTACAGCCTGCCACATTATGGGTATTGGTTATGGAGCCTCTGACGAACAGCTGGAGAAGCAAATCGGTTGCGTCAAATACACGCTATTCTGCTTCAACATTGTGGCATGGATGATAGCCACGGCCTTGTTTGCCCTGACCGTTTGGCTGCGTGCCGAGCCGGGCTTCAATGATTGGCTGCGCATCCTGGAGGCGCAGTCCTTCTACATCGGTGTGTACGTGCTGATCGGCGTCAGCATCATCATGATGGCGGTGAGCTTCCTGGGCTGCCTGAGCGCCCTCATGGAGAACACCCTGGCCCTGTTCGTGTTCATTGGCACGCAGTTGTTTGGCTTTGTGGCCCTTGTGGCTGGTTCGGCCGTCACGATGCAGTACAGCACGATTAACTCGAGCCTGCAGCCGCTGTTGAATGTGTCGCTGCGTCGCTTTGTGTCCACCTCGGAATACACCTACTCCAACTACGTGCTGACCATGATCCAGGAGAATATCGGCTGCTGCGGCGCCACTGGACCCTGGGACTATCTGGATCTGCACCAGCCGCTGCCCAGTTCCTGCCGCGACACGGTCAGCGGCAATGCCTTCTTCAATGGCTGTGTGGATGAGTTGACCTGGTTCTTTGAGGGCAAAACTGGTTGGATTGTGGCCCTGGCCATGACCCTGGCCATGCTCAATGTCATTTGTGGTACAATGAGCTTCGTCCTAGTGCAGGCCGTCAAGAAAGAGGAGGAGCAAGCCAGCAACTATCGCCGCTGATCCTAGACACGCACATACTTAAGTTAGCAGTACAGATTACACAAACGGCAAGAGACCCTGCGGATAGTTAGTACTACATTACATCCCTTCCCCACTAGATAGATCCTAGGTTAACCCCACCCACATCCAATTCGAACAATAAGCTTACAAATAAAGATTTAAATGCGACTCGGCGACGCAACCCCAAATACTCACAGGTTGCTCATGGAGAGGTCCACCTCCAGGTTTAGATGCTCATGATGGTACTTGATGATGGGCACCCGTGCCTGCAGGATGCGCCGCACGTGACAGACCCCGGGCAGAAAGAGGTGCAGCATGTCGCCAAAGCATTCCATGTGTCGCTGCGTCTGCGATCGTCCGTTGCTCAGGTTCTCCTTGGTGTGGTAGATGAGGCGCGAGGGGGGCTCGCCACTCGACTGTTTTCTACCGCCAGTCTCCCCATCGAAGCGTAGGATAAGGTCCAGGTCGCAGCCCATCTTGCCGAAGCCGTTTACTGAGGAGCCAAACGGATGGGCCTGGGCTGCGGGGAACATCCCGGAGATAGCCTGCTGCACCTGTAGGGCGGCCAGAAAGCGCATGCGTACGCCGAGATCGTTCAGCTGGGTGTGCCTATGCAGTAGTTGCACCTGTTGCTCGATGCTCTCCGCGCCGCGCAGCTGACTGAGCAAAGCCTCCTGGTCGAGCTGCCTGGTGCCGTCCACTGATTGCAGATCGCTGGTCGGCGGGTGGTGAATGTTGTTGTTGTTGTTGGGGGCGAGTTTGGGGCCACGCTTGCCGGGTGCCGCCTTGAACCAGAGGAAAGGCGAGCGTACGGGCACACCGCTCAGGTCCCCATTGGTGGCACCCGAGTCAATGGCAGCCGCTGCCTCATGGGCCGTCGAGTATTCCAGCAGGATGTAGTGGAGATCGTCGTCATGCCGCACACAGTAGTGATGCGCCCCCACAATGGAGCCGAACCGACTGCAGTAGTTATACAATTCCGAGTAGGACTTCTCCGAGCTGACCTGGACCACGATGCTGCGCTGAGCCTGGACCTGACGGCCAGCAATGAACTCGTCATAGTTGGGCTTGCCTGGCGGGAAGAGACGAGAGGATAATTACGATAGAAACAAGCTGCTGGTGGCCCTACCTCTGGACAAGGCAGCGGATGCGGCTTCTGTGGTGTATTGTTTTACGCAATATTTTCGCCAGAGCTGCACGTTTTGGGCTCGGCGCATCAGATTGTTCATGGCGGGTATGTGTGGCTGACTGGTGGAGATCCTAGCACTACTTCATGCGTCCTGCAAGTCCGGCGTTTAACTTGAATAAATAGTCCCTCGAATATTTGGTTGCACTTGCGTTTGTGAGGTTAAGGCAAATGCCCAGCTGTTCGGCTGCCTGCACCAGGGCTGCAGTGATATAAATTTATGATTTAATGCGAAATTTGTGTGATTAATATTAGTTCTATTCTGCATTCAAATCTCGATCATTAAGCTTAAATTTAAATATGAAGGCTCTAGTAAAAACATTCATTTAAATCAGCAGACACATATCGAAGCTGATGGCAGAGTATCCATCCCTGATGATTTAAGTGTTACATTTTTTAAATGAAGTTCCACAATAATTGACTATATATATGTCTATATGTAGCATATTGTTCTGCAATCAGTGCTTTATAGCTACTTTCATTCAAGAAGACTTTCTTAACATAAAACTGTAAAGTTATCGATTACTTCGACTGCCGATGTGCTGGCGCGAATATTTAAAATCTTGATTGAATTTTTCAAATACACATTTATTGAGTTATTATCATTAATACATTGGGGAATATCCAAATTCACCACTGGGATGCCCAGTTCCTTCGTATAACCAAGTTCAATTATGCTATATATGTATATTCACGTACAAAAATGAGACACCCGGGCTATATTTTCGAAATATTTGTAAAGGGTCGTCTCGCACTCTCCTATCCTCTGTTTTGTTACATTTAAACAACATATGGTGTATACATATATTCCATATATATATATATATATATACATATATATATATATATATATGTGTGTGTTGGTATATACATAAATACGGTGTGTATATAGATTGCGGTTATTGATAATATCTGCTGGGGATCTGATTACGTTGGAGTGAGTCCATAGAACAGCATGTTATGTATGGTTTATATTAGATCTGGATCTTAGATTTACTTTTACATTGTTATTGTTCATTGGGTTGCGAATACAGTTGGAGTGAGACTTATGAGCCTAAGGATCTACATATAATTAAATTTTGTGTGTTTTGAATCCTTCATTTAATCTGTATTTTTTTGTGTGTTTGTTTTGGGTTGTGTGTGTGTGGGTTGTGCTTCTTCGCTTCTTTCTTTCAAATGCAAAGTCGTCAGATCCTGAAATTTGATTTTGTTTTTCTCGTGTTTTGTTTGTTTTTTGGTTTTACTTATTATCTCAGTATCACATATGTTTCCTTCAAAATGCTGTCGGTGTGCAGAAACATTGGAAACATATCCATTTAGCAACAATTTTACACGCTCTAGCTGTTTTTTTTTTCTCTCTCTATCTAGAAATAACTACGCGAACAAGGAACACATTAAAAGCGTGCCAAAACTTAAGATAATTTAATTATTATTAATTTAAAAAAAGGACTGCTCTGAGCTGTTCTCATTTTGGGCGCTGTGCGTGTGTGTGGTATGTGTGTGCGGGTGCCAGTATGCTGCTTGTGGGAGGACAAAGGGGAATCTTGGGTTGTAAATGCCTGTGCCTGGACTAAACATTAATACATACATATATCCTTAGCTCCTAGCTTTTACACACGAACACGTACACATCCATACATTGAAATACAAACATACATATCGCATAGTTATGTAAGTATATAGTTTAGTTGAGTTTTTTGTTTTTCAGTTTAGCTTAGTTTCGATTAGTTTAGCTCTAGCTCTAGCTTGGCAGAAATGCACTCAAATATTGCTTGCCACAGCTGCACAGCCACTCCCATGTCGGACACTTCCACTTCCATCTAGATGTCGTCGATCAGGCGACCCTCGATGACGGACGAGTGGTGGTAGTTGGGACGCGGCCTGAAGTCCTCGTTCTGCTCGTTCAGCTGCGTCGGCGATAGATCTACACCCGGACATGAGGGCGTCACCACAATCTGCTCATACTCATGTATGCGCTTACTGCATGAAACAAAGAGAGATGGCTATGGTTAGATCCTCTTCTTCGAACTGCAAGCTCTACTTACCCAAAACACCTAAATATGACGCTCTTGAGCCAGGCGAAAAAGTTGAATTCGGCTGTGAGGCCTGGTTTAACGGCTGGGTTGGCCGTGCCTACATAGAACCAAACAACAAAGACCACCAGAAAGCAGGTCAAAGCGTAGTACCAGTTGACTAGCAGCATCACCAGCAACTTGACAAAGGCCTAGCGAAAGCAACAGGTAATAAAAAGATGCCAATGAGGCAGAATCACTAGCTTACCCCTCCCAGCGAGAACCAGCGATTGCAGTAGCCAGAGTACCAGTTTTTCGTCTTGGAATGAATGGGTGGACGGATGGGAGCAATCGGTTCATTCTCATCCTCACTACCGCCCTGTGTGGCCGTCTGCTCCACTGATAAGGCTGTGGCATCTTCTGTACCCGTTTCTGTGGCTATCGTCGTCGTTGAAGCCCGGGCCTCCGCTTGGCTGGGAGCCGGCGCTGTCGAGGAGGTGCTGGGCCCCTCCAAGTCGAACTCCATTGGCGCCGCCTGGTGCATGGGAGAGTTCTGAGGACTCTGCAAATTCTTGTGGCGCACTCGATCGGGGAAGAGCAGGTCCAGGTCGTTGCCTCCATCGGAGACGCTGCCGTAGCGACGTGTCTCGTAGCTGGGGCTTGAGGCCTGAATACGGAATCGCTCCTCGCGCTGCTCTTGTATGTCAAAGGTCTGGGCCAAGGCAAAGTAGGCGTAGTTGATGCAGGCGTAGGTCAGCAAGAAGGGCATGGTCACGATGGGGGCCAGGAAATTAATATCGCCCACAATAATGAAGGTGACCGTCACGAGTGCCACAATGGCCATTGCATATAGAGGGACTTTGTTGGGTCCGCGCTGCAAAGGGAGCGAGGCGATATTGAATCCCATATATAAATAAATAAAGATTACTTACACCTTTGCCCAGCACATCGATGCCTGGAATGACGCTTTCTTTGGCTATACTCTGGAGAACGCGCGGAGTCCCATACATGGCGCCTAAACAGGAAGACATGCTGGAGACGTAGATGCCGGCTAGGAGCAGGAAATGCACGGCCGACACTTTGACGGAGATCATGAAGTCTTTGTAGAGTATGGCCCGTTGACAGGTGGCCCCCAGGAACAGAACAAACACCAAGTACAAAAATGTCCTACCAAAGAGAGGGAGAAAAAGTGTCACTATTTGGTAACAAGGGTACCCTTTTTGGGGAAGCCTTACGAAGTGCCAAAGGCAGCGAGGGTTCCATTGGGTATGTCTGTCGAGGGAGCGCGCAGGTCGCCGCTCATATTGATGCCAGACAGAACGCCGGTGACAGTGGGAAAGAAGACCCCAAAAACGCGGAACCACGAATATCCGTCCTCGTAGCTTGGCCAGAGATTTTCTGCAAAGTTGCCGCTCACCCAGCCATCGAAGCCATTCTCTGCGATGAGAATCAAAATGAGCAAGGGACAGACCCAGAAATAGACATGATCTTACCTGGATCTACTCCTACAAAGCTGCCCACCATAAAGTCCAGCGCCGAGATAAGCAGGATCATTAGCAGAATGAACTGTAGCTTGATAACCCACTTTACGCCGGCCACATTGATGCAGCCCAGGAGCAGAACAGCAGCGGTGGCAAAGCCACGAATGGCCCACTTGTTGCCTTCCAATCCGACCAGTCCGGCCATCGACTCGCCGAATCCCATCACATTCAGGGCACAGCCCACGGCCTGGCCGAAGCAGTAGAGCAAACCCAGGGCGCCACCGAACCGGGAGCCCAAGGTGTGCGCAATCAAAAAGTAAACGCCACCGCTTTCCACGCGACACCGTTCGCAGATGCCGATGGCCGAGAGGACGCTCACCAGGGCTATGAGGACAGTGCAGACGATGATGGCTACAGCATTGATGATGCCCGCCTGGGCCACGATCCAGCCCGAACGCAGGAACACGATCACACCAAAGACGTTGATCAGACAGGAGGTGAAGACCCCATCCCAGGTACCGAACAGGACCGGCTGCGATATAAAGAAGTTCGAGCGCCACCTGTTGAGTGTTGGATGAAACGAAGGATGTGCTGTAGTCCTGGGGCGGCAACAGAAGCCGGGGCTATCCATTACTCACCATGGCTTATCGCCCTGCTCCCCGGCGAATATCTCGTTCGCCCCGGAGGCATGGTGGCCACCGGCCGCGTATGTGTACTCGTTGCCCAGGTCCACGAATCCACCCGTGTTGTTGTTGGTCCGCTGACGAAAGCTGGCCACGGCCACCTCACCTTCATCATCGCCTCCAAGACCGAAGCGCTGCCAGTCGACAGTGCGCCGGTTCCCATTACTTTCTGCCGTATTACTCATACTGCGCTCCGGTCTGCGTGCGTATTGTGTATGTGTGTGCGGGAGAGAGAGAGCTGTGGGTTTTTTGGGCGCTTGTTGTTGTTGGAGCCGACTTATTCCTGGCCTCTGTGATGGGACTATCTATCGACTATTTTGGCCTAATCGCGGCAATTAACTGATTGCTATTTATTGGCTTCTTGACTGGCTCTGGCTGCGACGTCGCAATGATGATGATGGATACCAAAACACATCCACGCAGGCAAGCGAATGAAATTTTGGGCATGTGATTTAGCAGAAACTGCGCTCCAAGTCTGTGGTCTGGCCCCCTTTTCGCTTACTCGCAGTTGGCACGCGAAACAGCGGACCTCATCATTGGAGGCGGGATGTAACGAATGTCGGTGGTAAATGCGCAAAAAGTTAAATAAAAACACACTTTCATATGTAAACTATACGCAAGTCGTCATCGATAGCTATCCGTGCGTGCTGCCATACCGTTAAATGGGCGACCCGATTATTCCTGAGCTACCAGATGATGGCGCGCCAATTCAAATGAATGAAAATTCGGAAACAACAAATGTGATTCTACAAATTCCTATACCCATGGGTTTTATTTTTTATATACTTCCATCTTCTAGTCCTTCTTGGTGATGGCAGGCTATCGAATATCGACTAAATCTGTTGTTTTAATTTAACATCTGCTCGAACTCCGACTGGGTGGCAACTCCACAATGCGGTCTATGCACGTGTTTACATTTGGCGTTCAGTTTTTATTCTCAAGCTGTACGGAAAATGGTCAAAAAGAAGGAAAGGTCAGCTAAGGGGCCAAAGAAAGCCGACAAGGAAGGGCCTTCTACATCAGGATATGCCGCCAAGATCGCCACGTCTACCCAGGGAGATGCAGAGACTGGGATTTGGGGCGATGCGCGCTTCCAACATTTGCTGTCCGATCCCCGCTTCAAGGGTGTGCCCAAGGTGCAACGCAAGGTGAAGATCGACAAGCGCTTCCAGGGGATGTTCACGGATGAAAAATTCAAGGTGAAGTATACTGTGGACAAGTACGGCCGACCGGTCAACACAAGCAATGCCGAAGATCTACGCAAGTTCTACGAACTGGATGAGAACGACAGCGATGATGGTGAAAAGGAGGCTGAGGCAGAGGCGGAGGTGGTGGCTAAGAAAGAGATCGAAGAGGAGGAGCAGAAAGAACGCCGGGCAGAGGAGCTGGCCATTGCTTGCGTGGACGTTAAAGAGGATAAGTTCGAAAACGATTCCTTGGACAGCGACGGCTCCGAAGTCCCGGAGAACCTGCGCGAGCGCCTGACCAACCCAAACGTTGATTATGCCCGAGGCGAAGGCCGCCTGATGACGGACTCCTCGTCGGACGACGACACCGACGATGACGAAGGTGCCGAGGGGCCCGAGCTGCAGATCGACCATGTCTGGGGCGAGCTGGACAATGATGCCGAGAGCACCGAGGTGTCTACCCGACGGCTGGCCATCTGCAACATGGACTGGGATCGCATACGCGCCGAGGATCTGATGGTGCTTCTGAGCTCCTTCCTACCGCTCGGTGGAAGCATTCTCAGCGTTAAGATCTACCCCTCAGAGTTCGGCAAGGCACGCCTGGCCGAAGAAGAGATTCACGGCCCGGCGGAGCTGGTGAAGCGTGACGAGAGGGAGCAGGAGGAGGAGGACGACTCAGACGAGGAGCTGGTCAAGGAGCAGGACAGTGACGCCGAGGAGGGTGACGACTACCATATGGAGAAGCTGCGCCAGTATCAGCTGAACCGACTCCGCTACTACTACGCTGTGGCCGAGTGCGACTCCGTTGCTACCGCCGACAAGGTGTACAAGGAGTGCGATGGCATTGAGTACGAGAGCTCCGCCACGCGCGTCGACCTCCGCTTCATCCCCGATGACACCTCCTTTGAGGAGGATACGCCAAAAGACGAGTGCTTCGAGCTGCCGGATGCCAGCAACTACAAGCCCCGCCAGTTCACCACGACGGCCCTGCAGCAGGCCAAGGTGGACCTCACCTGGGATGAAACGGCGCTGGACAGACGCGAGCTGGGCGACAAGCTCTCCAGTGGCCAGGTGGACAAGCTTACCGACAAGGAGCTTCGCCAGATTGTGGCTTACAGCAGCGAGGAAGACGAAGACGAGGATGAGGAACAGCCCCAGGCGGAGGAGAAGAAAGAGCAGCAGCAGCCAGAGCAAAAGCAGCCTCAGCCTCCCAAGAAGCTTTCAAAGCAGGAGCGCATTGCTAGCTACAAGAACCTACTGGCCGATATCCTGCAGAAAGAGAAGCAGGAAAAGGAGCACAAATACGAGATGGAAATGTCCTGGAACATTGAGCCGGCTGTCGAGCCAAAGGAAGAGCAGGAGAAGACGAGCACAGCCACATCCGGCCAGCCATCCGAGCTGACCCCCATCGAGAAGGTTATTCAAAAGCGTAGTGAAAAGAACAAGCTGCGCAAGGAGCTGCGGCGGAAGAAGCAGAGCGAGGCACGGGGTGGAGATCTCGAGGACAGCGACGACTCCTCAGTGCCCGATGGCATCGACATGAACGATGCCTACTTTGCCGAGGAGTTTGCCAATGGCGACTACGAGCCGCCCAAGACTAAAAAGCAGGCCAAAAAGAAAAACAAGAAGCAGGATCAAGTCGAGGATTCTGCGGCGGAGCAGCAGCACCAGCAGGAGCTGGCCTTGCTGCTAGACGACGGCGACGGCTTGGAGGAGAAGCATCACTTTAGTCTAACAAAGATCCTCAAGGAAGAGGAGCAGAACTCGGGCGGCTCCAAGCGCAAGCGTCGCAAGCAACTCAAAAAAGCCAAGCAGCAGCCGGAGACAGCCAAACCTGACGACGACTTCAGGGTGGACCTGAACGACACGCGCTTCAAGGCCGTCTACAAGTCGCACGAGTACAACATTGATCCTACGCACTCCCACTACAAGGCTACCAAGGGCATGCAGCAGATCATTGGTGAAAAGCTCAAGCGTCGCGAGCGGCAGGTGGACGGAGGTGAGACAGGGGACTCACCCGACGAGTCGCTGGCTCCCAAGCGCAGCAAGCAGCAGCTGGAACAGTCTGCGCTGGTGAAGAGCCTCAAGCGGAAACTCCAGCAGCAGCCGAAGGTCTAGGGGATTACTGTGTATTTGCTTAATGTAAATTATTAAGTTAGAAAAGTAAATGCTAAACATAATACGCGTACAAAAAAGGTCTTCTTTTCGCTGGGGGATCATAAATTAGTTGTAGTTGTAATTGAAATACTGCTTGTAGAGGAAGGAAGTGATGCAGGGATCCAGCCGGAAGATATCGGGCACACAGATGCGGCGCTCCTGTTCGTAGACCACCATCAATTCGCAAATACGGGACCAGGTGGAGTTGTGGAGGCGCCGTATAAGCTGGCAGTCTAGTTTGGGCCGCGTCAACGTGACCACCACGGTATGCACCTGCTGGGGCGTGGCTCCGGGATCGATGAGCGCGACAAAGGGGCTGCGGCCTACGCACAGCTCGTAGAGAACCAGCCCCAACGACCAGATGTCAGACTTATAATCAACCTTTCCATTACCGGACATCACCTCCGGGGCCATGTACAAGGGGGTGCCTACGCCCGCTAGGTGCTGCTTGCTGGGGGCATGGACATTGGATATTCCAAAGTCGGCGATCTTCACCCGGTCGCCAGCGTCGAGGAGCATGTTTTCCGGCTTGATATCACGGTGGATCACGTTGCGTATGTGCAGGTACTCCAGACCAATCACCATGTCGCCGAAGTAGCGCAACAGGCGCTCATGCGGCAGATTGGCCGTGTGTTGAATCACGTCCCGCAGGGTCCCGTTGGGCGCGTATTCCATCACGATGTTGACGGTGCCCGAGTGGTTGAAGGAGCGAATAAACTCGACGATGTTGGGATGTCGCAACTGCGAGATGATGTAGATCTGGTGGGTGGGAGATGGAACCATTGTTATTCCACAAAATTCGAGGACAACGCCAAGCTCACCTCCTCCTTGATCAGACTCAGCTCCGTCTTTGGATTGCGCACGATGATGCGCTTCACGCATACTTGACGCTGCTGGCGACTGCCCTCGTGCTGCAGGCACAGGAAGACGCGGCCGAATGTGCCCTGGCCGAGCACGCGCACGGCTCTCAACATGGGATCGCCCAAATTCATTTTTAAAGGCTGGCAATTACCAAATATTGCAAATAGTTTTCCACATAGCCAGTTTACAGTTAAACGCCATTCAGCGCCCCGGGCTCCCATAATCGATAGATCCAGAATCGATCAGAGCAATGAATCGCTGAATTGAACCGCTGAACCCGCACTTTTAAATTCAAATTTAAATTGACAATATTTGCAAGGCGGGCGCCTGCGCTGCGCTTCCTGCCAATTGCGGCTGTTATATAAAGCGATTTATCGCCGAATTGCTAATTAAAAATGTTGCCAAGACAAAGCGACAGGCCATGTTAGACAAGCAAACTGGCCCAAACTGGCATGTTATGCAAATTGTGTTGGGTGAGAAAGCAGTTTACTTTTACTTTTCCCAATGGATAATGTGTGTGCGCAATGCACATGGTACACTTAGCCATCCAGACAGCCAGTCAGCCGCATTTGCCTGCTGCAAGCATACTAACCTACAATAAATCGCCTCGATTGCACTCGAAAAGGCAGCGCGGCTTTGCTGGTGCAGCTGCGCCCCTATTCGCATGCAGGAGACTTCCCCTTCAAATTCGTCTCGTCTCGAATATCAATTTTAGGCTATTTCGAACTTCCTAAGTCGCTCACATGCACGCGGGGCATTATCTAACTTTTGCTGCATTTTAATTGGAATGGTTACTTATATCTCGTTCGATTTGAATCGGTTGAGGGGAAATCTCTGCGAGCGAGTGAGAGAGATTGAGAGTAAGAAAGCTCATTAACCTTTCACCTGTGGCGTCAGAGCCCACCACGCCCTGCTGCGTGCTCTAGTTGAAACAATGGAATGCACTTGCATAATGGAGAGCATAAGAGAGAGGCCGCCGGGCCCTTCACCATATTTAGAGCCCCATGGCAAGCAAATCCCATCATTTATCACTCCACCTGGGGAATTAATTGAGTTCCTGACAGATGACCGCGGAAGCTAGATTTGCATGTCGATGACCAGATCGATCTTTTATCAATCTTCTAGCGATGTACCTGTACCGTTGTTGTTTGCTACTCTCTTCCGGTTTCTTTTAAAATACCGTTTCTTATTTTTGTGTCATTCCCTCATGCTGTTTTGAATCCTTCTGGCAATGGAATTCCGATAATTCCGATAACACAATCATTTACCGTTTGTTTTTCTAATTGCTTGCTTCTCTCTCTCCTCTTTGTCTTTGGCACCTTTTGAAAAATGCCGTTAATGGTACTTGCACTTGCACTTACACACACAGACACCCGGACTGGGACTGGTTTGTGTGTGGGGTGGGCATGGGTGGTTAACCCGTTGGTGCCGCTATTGCTTTGATTGACAACGGGTTTTTCTCCTCCTTGGGAGGCTGCATTGCCTTGCCTTGCCCCCAGTGGCGGCCAAAATGCCGAATACGTAATATAATATATATTTTAATTGAACCACTATCCCGCACGCATACTATACGCATACGAGTATAGTATACATACATATGTACATATGTATGTAGGTACGTATATGTTTTTGTCGAATTTTCACAAACAATTTTGTGGCAGCAGCCATAAATTACAGCAAGAAAAAGGAAGGCAATAAATTGGGGCGTCGCATTATTTGATACCCTCCATTTGCAGATGGATCGAGTTGACATCCACAGCCATATGAAAGAAAATTTGCAGTTTAAACTCACACAATTTAAATCTCCTTTTATAGAATAATAAACTGCCCCAGACTAAATCTTGCAGACGGCCTTGTAGAAAAATATAAAAAATTAAAATGAATTAATATTCCTCATCATAATAACTGTTAAAATTATATTTTTAGAACAAAACCCAAGACCGAAATAATGGCATCCCGCATAGAACTTGATTTGAAACAGTAAAACAAGCAGAAGTTATGAATTCCGCATCCAAACATCCTGAGATCATAATATGTACAGTGTCTCGAATGATAGTGATCCGATCTGATGTCGGACCTTAGATCTAGCATTTACATATGTATATGTACGTAATTATATGTGTGCATATGTACTTCATTTTATGGAGTCGGCAGATGCTTCCTTTAAATTCATTGCAAAATATCTGATGTATTTAATAATACCCTCTGAACGGGGTGGGGTATTAATATAACAAACTCCTCTCATATTTGCCCCCTACCAGTCGTGTTGTGTCTGTCTTTTGGTCTGCCTCGACTTTGACTTGAAGTTCGTTGCCGTTAATCGTTGTTTCTGTTGCTGTTGTTGCAGCATTGCAACATTGTTTTTGTAGTTGCAGTTACTCGTGCTGCTGCCGCACATTTCACATTTCGCTGGCTAATTCGGCGCTGCTGCCTCGCCTTACCTTTCTTTCCACATCTCTCTGTGTGGTGGAGACGGCTCTTGGCTCTCGGCTCTGGGCTCTGGCGGGTATAAATCGAATCTGGTCCCAGAGCTAGAGCCACATTCAGCCTGCCGCCGTCCAGGAGTTCGCTTCGCTTCGCGTAACCAAAAACGATCTTTGGAATATTGCAATCGAATCCAGAATACATTTTTTCCCAGTGACTTTCTGTGTGTTTTTGTGCTCTCTCTGCTCTGTGCGTGTGTTTCGTTTCAACAAACAAATAGAAAAATGCTGAAACTCATTGTAAGCAAATCAAAAAATATGATATAAGTCCATCAGGAATATCTATCCATCCATCCAAAGAAAAAAATGAAATTTTAAGAAGGTTTTCCTTATGGGGAAAAAGAAAGTTCTGTGATAACAAATGTGGATCTACATAAGATCTAATTCTGCGCCCTTACTATCCACTTTTTAGCTGCCCTGCCTGGCACTGGCCCTGCTGGCTGTAAGCGTGCACGCTTTGAAGATCCACGACTACGAGCACCAGGAGCAGCCCCACGAGCAGCACTACGAACACCAGGAACATGCCAGCTACGAGCCGGAGCACGAGGAGACGGAGCTTCATCATGAGGTGGAGCATAAGCATGCCACGTCGCATCAGAGCGTCAAGTTCCATCACTACCACGCCGTGCCCGTGTACATTAAGAAGGAGGATCAGCATCTGGTAAAGAAGCCCATCGAGATCGGCGGCACCAAACAGAAGCTGAAGATCCTGCATCCCAAGAGCGAGCACAATCACAACCACGGCCTGGTGCTGGAGAACCACAGCGAGTCGCATCTGCACGAGCATGGCCACTACGAGGAGCCCGTGCACCACTCGGAGCACTACGAGCATCACGAGCACTATGCGCACCATGAGTAGGCAGATCAGATCCTTTTCGGCGCCCCCCTTTGCCAAATAAGTTGTGAGGAGGAGTTATTCTCCCCAAACCCAACCCCATCCCATTCGTGTGTAAGGCTTTTTTTATATGTACCGTCTCTTGTTAAATAAAACGTTTACCTAGAGTATTACCTAAATCAATGAGGGTTCGTGTTTTATCCATTCTATGCACACACATTTTTTGGAAGGTTGTGTCGTATTGTATTAGATTTGTACCATTAGGCAACATTTGATAAAATTTCGAAAAGTTTCTCAAAATTGATTTGGAAAAACTTTTACGCTAAATGAATATTTTAAACATTCGGTTAGTAATGTATGTAAAAGTACATGTATAAGTAAAATAGAGCTGCCATACTTTTCATTGCTTTGGCGCCCATATGATTTTGAAATGCGGAGCACGCCTGTCCTTTGATGTGTTCTTTATGGAGAGATAATTGAATTTTTTAAATTATTTAATTTTAAACCATTTCATATTTTAAACCAGACTCGGCTTGAGCACTTTATCCTATCCCTATTTTGTAAAGGGATATAAGTATATTGTATGCATTAAAGGACCATCCGCTAAGCGCAGTTGGATCTTTGGAGGGATTTACATTATCGTCCATAGTTAGTCCCCTCCAATCATATTATGTTATTCTAACAATAAAAATTCTCTCGCTTACATTTCCCTATTATTTCATCCATATAGATCCGCAACTTTTATTTTATTACTTGTTTTTGGCATTTGGACAATGATAATAATAATAACAACAATTATATATTTATGTAGAATTTTGTTAGCTTAAATTAATTAGAACAAACTCCCTTTGACCGTCCAATTTAAGAAACCCAAGGGCCTGGCCGCATCCTTTGGTTGGACAGAATCTTTGTTTAGAAAAAAAAACTACTCCGCATGGAGCATCTAAAGTTTGTGGAGTGCTGCATTGCCACCAAGCATAGTGGATGAACCGGCCAATCTAGTTTATGTTAATTATTTATGCTGATCAATAATATATACATATTATTTACTTCATGGGGTCGGAAACGCTTTCTATACGAAAGTCTTATTTTGTATATCCTTTATACGACTATAATGAGCGAATGTGTTGTATGTACATAAGTATGTTCGTACAAGGCGATTGCCGATGTTTTTTTTTTCCAATTTTGCCAAATAACCTATTATCGACTACTTAAGCCGGTGTTTTTACCGGGTCCTGACGGAGTTCCCGACTGTGTACTCAGGTACTGCGCCGAGGCTTTGTGTGTCCTCTTGCTTAAACTATTCGCCGTGTCCATTGATTCTTCATATTTCCTCCCAATTAACATGGGAAGGAATCGTTTAGAATTCCTCTCCATAACAAAGGTAGCAGGTCTGATGGAAAATAATTATAGAAGTATATCTGAGTTATCCGCTATTCCTAGCATGTTTGAGAACATAAGGCCATACGCATAAAAATATCGTCCTTATCTCGGAGATTGGGGGTTGTAGTACTATATCTGGGCAACTCATCCGCTATACAGTTGCCCTCAATGTCCCGGTGTCCCGGGACCCATATAAGGCTAATAGCCAGTTTCTGAGCCATCTCGAGAAAAGATTTGGGGCAGTCTGCCGCAGTGGCCGTTTGAAGGCAGTTCAGAGCTTCCCGGATTGCTGTAACTTCTGCTTGGAAAACGCTACACTGATCTGGGAGCCGGAAGGAGTGCCTTATGTTTAGCTGTTCGGAGTAAATTCCTCCTGCGACCCTGCCATCCGTGCCAGCTTCGAACCATCCGTGAAGATGCTTATGCCCCATCTGGGCCTGGGAGTCCCTCGAGCCATTAGTCTCTATGAGGGATGATTGTGTGGAAGGGAGTATCTATGTACACTCCTGGATCTTGATAGTCTGTTCTTGCTGGGACCTATGTGCTGTGATACTGCCATTTCTTCCCGCTCTTTTCCTGCAAGGTCAAGGCGCATTTGGTGTGGTGCGAAGATCTCCACTGATGCAAAGGGCGGCAGTTCGCTGAACTTTCCGCAGCTGATGGGTGCTGACTACTGCCAGATATATCCATTGGTCTATGCCCCACTTTAAGCCAATAGATTTTTTGCAAGTGTAGAGTGCTGTGGTTGCCTTCTTCACTCTATCTTTGACATTCAAGTTCCAATTAAGCTTTTTGTCAATTACCAACCTAAGTAACTGGCACTGTCGCTTAAGGAGAGCCTGCATCCATTTAGTATTGGGGGGTTTAGGGGCGGCACCTTATATTTATTTGTGAATAACACGAGCTCCGTTTTCGAGGGATTCGAGGGAGTGTATGCCTCTACTTTACAGCCCCCCCCTTCCAGGTCTGACCAGGTCTGAGACAGGACCCCACCTTGCGGGGTGCCTCTCTTGACATACCTTGTCTTGTCGGACGATCCCATCGATGATGTGACTGTCCTGCATATGAGCAATTCTTCAATGAGCATCACCAAGTGGCGGTCCACCTTCAGGTCAGTGAGGGCTTCCGTGATGGCTCCCGGCTTGACGTTATTAAAGGCTCTCTCGATATCGAGAAAAGCTATTGATGAGTATTATTTTAGATGCAGAGATTTTTCACACTCGAAATTACTCTATGAAGTGCCTTTTCCGTGGATTTTCCTTTCCAGTAGGCATGCTTGAATGCAGCTGAGGACTTTTGAATTTCCTAAGTGTCTCAAAAGTTTTGAGTAGGAAAGACGATAATCTGATTGGTCTAAAGTCGTTTGGGGTTGAGTTTGAGTCTTTCCCTGAAGACCTTAAGCCTAGCCTTAAGCCAAACTTTTGGTATTGTACATACTGCCAGTATTTTCCTGAAGATACATTTTAGCCAGTTGATGGCCGTATCCCCGGCCTTTTGAAGTTGGGCCGCGGTTACCTGGTCCGGGCCTGGCGATTGCCTGGTTATTGCCCGTTTATCGGCCGTTTTGTGAGGATTTGATCCATCGAGGTTACCGGCTTCTCTCCTGCGAGGTGTGCCGGCTCAATGGTAGTGCACCCGGGGAAATGCGTATCTATTAGAATGCGCAGGGACTCCTTACTGGAGTTGGTCCACGTACCAGACTGATTTTGTAGCCAGTGGCCCAGTGGTTCTCCTCGTTCGCGCTTTTGGCTCTGTTGAAGAGAGTCCTATAGCTTTTACATAGGATGTCTATTTGTTTTGTCCACCATGGGGGTTTCTTTTTCCACATAGTGTTGTTAGAGGGGCATGCTGTGAACTGTTTACTAGACGATCTAGGTCGTCCTTTGTGTCCGGCCATGTTGGTGCTTTAGAGGGGAGTAAGTCCACCAGGGCTGAGCAATGTAGTCATTAGGTTTCGGACGATGAAGCTGAACAGTGATTTGCCGCTTACATTTGTGTCCGAGCTCCCCCATTGAGTTTGGTGAGCATTGGCATCGCAGTCTATTAGTACGTCTATGTCCGACTCGCTGGCGAGTTTGCGAACGAAGTCGTTGGGAGGATCATTTTCCTCATGGGCCATGTAGTCTTAAATGTGTTCCTTTCACCTCTAGGCTTGCCGACGTGTTGTCTCTATCGCTATAATTAAGGAGAATAAAGATATTAAGTGCTTTCTGGCAGAATGCAGGTGCGGGTTTTACCTTCATGTTAAGCTACAATCATCTTGTACTCCTTCGACCCTAGTCCACAAACCTGGTCTCCCACTATCCAAGGTTCCTAGACTAGGGCTACGTCCGCTCCGCTTGCTTTACGGTGGTACTGCTTAGGACATCCTTAGAGACGCTGCCTTTCCCTGTTTGGGATTGCTCCCTGTTGGCATTTGGGGAGTGCCAGACTCATTTTGGTTTTTTGTTTCTTTAAATTCTTCCATTCTTTCCCATGAGCTGCAGAGAGGAGGTACGGTCCGTCCGGGCAGAGATCCACGTTGCCCGGATAAGGCATAGTTAGAACATGGGGCTGCCCGGTGGGGCCCGGTGTGAGGTGGGTGTGGGGGTTGGGATGTAGGTAAGTAGCGTGTAGGGATGGGAGTGTGTTAGCTACTTATTGAGGCGGCACCACAAGCGCATCGTTAGTGTTGCTACTTCGCGAACACCCGCTGGCTGTCCGGGACTGCTTATTTCGGTACTCTCCCGTAAGGGATGCCCGCTTATTCGCAGCTGACCTACCAAGGTAGGCCGTCAGCTAGGCTTTCATTGGCTTCTGACCAGATAGACATTGCTATAATGAGAAGATAGCATGAGAGGCAGCCTTCTGTAAACACGTCTCCCGGTTATCTCTCACTGCATGCCTTTCCCATTACGCCGTCTCTGTTTTTGAAGCTAGTCAGCTAGCAAGTCTAATGTCATAAGGCTATTCAAAATATGTAAATGTTTGACTTCTCCAGCATGAGGTTTTCCCAAATGTTATCCGCTTTCTTTAATTATACCCGATACTCAAAATGAGTATTGGGGTATATTAGATTTGTGGTGAAAGTGGATGTGTGTAACGTCCAGAAGGAATCGTTTCCGACCCCATAAAGTATATATATTCTTGATCAGCATCAATAGCCGAGTCGATTGAGCCCTGTCTGTCCGTCCGACCGTCTGTCCAGACTCCTAATATATCGGACCGAGACGAGTTTGTTTCAAAATTTCGCCACACCCCCTTCCGCCCCCGCAAAGGATGCAAATCTGGGGATATTCACAAATCTCAGAGACTATTAAGGCTAGAGTAACCAAATTTGGTATCCGCACTTCTGTTAGATCCCACTATAAAACGTATATCTCAAAATTTCGCCCCAGCCCGGTCCGCCCGCACAAAGGACGAAAATCTGTTGCATCCACAATAATGCACATTCGAGAAAACTAAAAACGCAGAATCATAGAGAATGACCATATTTATCCGGTTGCTGAATCTGGATCAGATCAGATCATTTTTATAGCCAAAAGGAACAAATCAATTTTCAGTGGCTACGCAGCGCTCGACGTCACGCTCACACTGATTTTCTGTCTCTCTCGCACGCACTCTTTGTAGGGTCGTTTAATATTAGCGGCGTCTGCCGGAGGAGAGCCATACTGACTTAGTATCGGGTATAACTGTAGAGTTGCGGTGTACGCAGCAACTCACAACGTTCCCCCTCGTTTTTACCTAACGAAAGCAAATATTAAATTAAAATAGAAAAATAACTTTTTTACAATAAAAACTAAATTTGTTCCAATAAGTTAATTTCTTTTTTGTAAATTAATAACAAATTCAATATAATTGAAACTTTTTTTTTAATCAGTAATTAAATAATATTTTTTGGTACCAATCTTAGCATTGGGGTAAGAAAAGATTGTGTTATTATTAAACGAGCTTTGGGATCGGTTTAAAAATTCATTTAGGATAGCATCAGAACTGTAGCAACGATATACAGATGATATTTCGGCTCGAACTATTTAACGTCGGCCAAAGGAGGTGTCTTTAATAAAAAGGGTACCTGGCAAAAAGCTACTTCTGCGTAGTTGAATGAAGAAAGCTCGCTTAAATTGGTGTACAGAAAATTCTAATTGGAGTGAATCTGAGTGGTCCCAAATAATAATACTCTCGGATGAGTCTAAATTTAATTTTATTGTACCCGATGGTTCGCGTACAGTTCGCCGCAGAAAAGGAGAACGCTTTTCCGAAAATTGCTATATTGCCACCGTAAAGCATTCGCCTTATATGATTTGAGGATACATATCTAAATATAAAATTAAATCGCTAATTACGATTAAGGGTATGGTGAATGCAAAAAACAATGAGAAAATTATTCGCAGTGTAGTTGTGTCCAGTACGGAACCAGTTACTGAGAGAGAAGAAGATCCCATCTTTCAGGACGATCCTAAATCATCGATCGCGCTCTGTAAGTGATTATTTGACGCTTTGTTATTTTTAAAATGCATTCAACTAGCTTTGATTATTTTTCAACTACAGATAAACATTTTGAAGCCGGAAGTGGACAATAAGTGCCTAGATTGGCCATCTAACACCAAAATCTGAAGGTTTTATACAATTGTGGTTTTTTTTTTGAAGAAATCGTCTTTAAAATTTTACTGAATTTGTTTCCTTCGTTTGATCAAATTAGTAAATGACCGTTGAAAAAAGTGTTATTTGGAAAAATATTTGTTTTTAATTGTATGAATATGAAAACAAACAATTTAGTATTTATTTTTGTTAGGAATTGATTTATCGACACAAACAAAAAAAATTTGACGAATCGGATAACATTTAAGGAAACCCCACGCTGGAGAAGTAAAAAATCCATAAAATATGAGAGTGAGGCCTTTTTTTGTCGCTGGGTGTACCTTTAGTATGGTAATACTTTTTGGTATATATATTTTTTTTAAGGGTATATTATGGTATGTTTCTGAGAGTCATACGGGAATATATTTTTTCGATAGATCGGTTTCGATCTCTAAGTAGTGATGATCGCTTTTTCTCTCATTGTAGTTCCGTTGGAAACTTTCGATACGATATTAATTCTTATCACCTATGGCGAAGAGCAGGATGATCGTTTATGGAACTTTTAAAACTTTTCGGTATTTTTTGACAGTAAAATTAAACCGACGGTATTTGATTCATCAATCTATTAAATTTAATTTTTAAAGGTATATTTAAGAAGAAAGTGTATAGAAACTTCCATACGCAGGTTTTTTTAGTTTTAGCTCACAAATCGTTCTTACGTGTATCATTTATTCCAATAGATTGCATTTAAATCCTTCTAGCTCATTCCTTTCAAACAATTTCTATTTGGCGCGCATAACTCGTATTCATTTTGAATTGGGTAAGGACCTATTTTAGCCGGTAGGCAACAATAAGTCCCATTCCATACTTTTAAACTATTGTTCTTGGATCGGCATGTGGTGATGATTGGAACTGCATTTCCCAATCATTGAATAAGTAAAACCAACCAAACGTGATGTTCATATTCAGGTGGAGGAATATAGGTGGAGCAGATTCAGAATTTTATTCGGCGAAAATTGAGCCTTGGATGGTATACCATTCAGGCTGAGCCACTTTAATAGCCGAAACCTGGAAACATTCGGGCAGTCGCTAAGGATGAATATGCCGCAATTATTGGGGAATATTAAGACCATCATGCATCATGCTATTCAACAGGGTACTTGCCATGTGTGTCAATTTAACGGAGCCCAGGGACTAGTGTCAAAACTATTATTGAAAAGACAGTTTTAATATGTATTTGATATACACAACTTATAATATATCCATATATACATAGTTTTTCATGTGATGGGTTTAAATATACCGCCACATTACGAACCGGTTCAAACGGGAACGACGCAAAAATGTTCTTTAAAACATAATGCTGCAGCAACTAGTTTTTCAATGCATTTTTTACGATTTTCATTGGTCAAAAGAAATGTTGCTAAAGCAACAAGTTTTGCATTGCCTTTTTGACGATTTTTATTGGCCATTCTTAGTGTCACTCCATGCACAATGTTGCGGGCAACACTAATTTGCAAACCGTGTTTTAGTCAATATACAATACATGCGAGTAGGAAATTTATTCATCAATATTATAGGATACAATTATGTGGACAAAGCTGAGAGATCTAAATGGCTAGTAATATTCGACGGAATATCAAAATCGAGGATATATATGTAAAATATAACTTCAATTCGTCAGTATATTTACGGTATATTTTTAAAATGAGACGGTATATTTTGGTATTTATCTGAGGGTCGGAAGGTATATTTTAACGATAAATCCGCGGTCACACAGCCGAAGAGGGCGCCGCTAAAGCGTTTCCGAGAAAAAAAAAAATAAAAATTAGCTGTTTTCTAGTGTAGCTTCGTGTGTCAGCAATTGGTGAAAAGAAAGTGAGTTGCGAATTATTTTCTAATTGTATTTTCGCGAATATCCCACGCCCCGCGATGGGTTTCTTCTGTATTCCCGACTTCTCCGTACATTAGTTTTTTCTTCGCTCTTTTCTTGTTGCTGCCCCGCGTTTGTGTTCGTGTATGTGTGTGCATGAGTGTGCATGGAATGGTGTTTTTTTTTTTAGGGGTGGGGGTAGATTTTTCTCTAGCTACTTTGCTGTGTTCTGGCCGCGTCGGGCTCCAGCCCAGGCCGAGTGTAACAGCAGCAGCTCTTCCCTGGGAGGCGGGCTCTTACTGAACACCGACAACACGGCAGCTTGCCGACGTGAATTCGGCTGCAATTGGCCATGTCCCTGGATGCGCTTCGTCAGGCTCAAACCTGACACTATCCGGACATCCGAGCGACCTTCGGGGGCAGCCGCAGCTGAAGCCGAAGCCGAAGCCTCCACCATGTACACACACATTTTGGGGGCAACACGAACGAGCTGCAATTCGGAGGGCCAGGTCACTGCAATTGAAATTGAATCCTTACCGGAGACAGAAGTGGACGCGGACGCGTGCAACGACATCACACATCATCTCTTAATTGAATTAGGCTGCAGAAAACCGAATACACATATATTTTTCTTGTGCTTCTTTTCCATTTGCAGCTTCTGGCGCGCACTGCGACGTAGATACAACACATTTTTTGTGGCACTTTGACCAGTCTACGGAGACGCGAAAAGCGAAAGCACACGCAAGCGACGTTTTTTTTTTTTTGGGCTGCGTATAAAACAGGATCAGGACAGCCATGTCGCAGTCGGACAAGATGCAGGATCAGAACCCTCAGTATGAGAATGAGAACGAGGAGTTGTCTTCGGACATGGAGGTGAGTCCGAGCCTTAAAATCCTCTCCCGTTTTTCCACTCGAAATCTAATGCTGAATACGCTTTATTCCTCCCATTTTCCAGGAGCCAGCCGATGCTGTGGAGCGTGAGGGCCAGCAGGAGAGCAGCCAGGATGAAAGCTTCAATGATGACAGCAATGGCAATGGCAATGAGCTCCAGGCGGGCGGGGACCAGCAGCAAGAGCAGGAGCAGCAGCAGCCCCAGGAATCGTCCGGGGACGAGCAGAACAACCATGGCAGCGAGGAGGCAGCAGGCCCTGCAGACCAACAACAGCAGCAGCAACAGGGTGGCAATAACAACGCCGCCGCACCGCCGCAAGAGCAGGAGGAGCGCGTGAGCTCGACCAATCTAATAGTCAACTACTTACCACAGGATATGACGGACCGAGAGCTGTACGAGCTCTTTGCCAACTTCGGGGGCATCAACACCTGCAAAATCATGCGCGACTTCAAGGTAAGCCAAAGCCAGCCAGCCGGGGAAGTAGGGTAAGAGGCCACGCAGGATGCACGTCACAGGTCGTTGTTGTCAAGAGAGGCCTCCTGCTATTGCTCTTGTTGTCCTTGTCGCACCGTGCGATACATACACAAACTGCAACTCTAACCTGTGCATCCTTTCTCTCTGGTTTATTTCATCCCCCACCCTCTTTGGCAACGCGCCCGACGCTCAGACTGGATATAGCTTCGGCTACGGCTTCGTCGACTACAGAACAGAGGCGGACACCGAAGAAGCTATCGATAAGCTGAACGGGCTATATGTGCGCAACAAGCGATTGAAGGTGAGTGTACCACCCTGTCCCCGAACCACCTACCGCTTGCGCATACTCATTCCTGTCTCTCGGGACGCTCTCTCGTCTCTTAGGTCTCGTATGCTCGCCCCGGCGGCCAGTCCATCAAGGACACCAACCTGTATGTCATCAATCTACCACGCAATATCGACGATGATATGCTCACCAGAACCTTCTCGCCGTTTGGCCAAATTGTCCAACGGAACATCTTGCGGGACAAACTCACCGGACGTCCGCGCGGCGTTGCCTTTGTACGGTAAGTCCATCGTTATTCTGTTGCCCCCAGAAGTAAAATAGCTCTCATAAGCCAGCAGCAGCGCTGCTGCCGACCCCTGATCTAGAGTCACCTTCCAAAATCAAGATCTATTCAAATTTGGCCCTTAAATATAGAGATGTTTGAATGCACTCTTAATATTATGTATAGATTCCTTAATAGGATATTTGTAATTAGAGAAATGTAATACAGAAATGTCCAGAGTGAATGTTCATTTGAGATTGTCATTCATGGTCGTAATTGTGGCCCAGACTTAGGTGCTTGTCTAGGAGCTGTTAGGCTCTCAAAGGAATGCATATTCAGCACATATTGTAAGATGAATTGTGTTCTTAAACAAACGAATCATATACGCTATATGTAACCTTGTCCGGGGCGTTCATCTGTGGTGTGTCGTGGCTGCAGTGTAGATTTAGGCATAACTTATCTGCAAGCTTTCTAGCTACAAGCCCAGATCTGACACGACGTTTATTAAGACTGTAAAATCACTGATCTATCAGAGCATCAGCATCACCCTTTGCCAATTAAATGGTTTCCAAATCGTTAGAACGCTTCAGTGCAAGATCAGCCAACTCTTTTGTTATGCTTTCTTTTGAATAATCCGATGAATCTGTGATATGAAACTGATGTATGTAAGATTTACACGTTCAAGATTCAAACGATATGTAGAAAAGGATGCAAGAGACATTCACAATTCACAGTAGGTCCAGAGATATCTAGAGAGCTCCAAGGGCCAGGGCATTTAAATGGAAAAGGATGCCTTAACTCGCAGAGTAGAGAAAGGACTCACAATACCTAGTATAATCGTGGATGCCACAGGCCGAATTCCAACTGATTTTGAATGTCAATCTCTGATTTCTACCCAAACGCTATTCGGGGTGCGAAGGTTGGAATTCGGTCTGTGGCACCCCCGTATAATAAAAGATTTCCATATATCCTACAGCTATAGTGTCTACTCCTTTTGCCTTTCTCTAACTGTCTATCTCTCTCTCTCCCTCTCTCTCTCTCTCTCTCTCTCTCTTTCCATTCTCCGCTACAGCTTCAGTAAGCGCGAAGAGGCACAGGATGCACTGAACACGCTGAACAATACGGTTCCACTGGGATGCACACAGCCGATTTGGGTGCGTCTGGCCGAGGAACATGGCAAGGCAAAGGCTGCACAGTTCATGTCGCAGATTGGCGGGCCGATTGGCGGTGGTGTAGGTGGCGGTGGGGGAATGGCTGGCCCACTGCATATTGGACATCAGCCGCACCACCATCACCACCACAACAACAACAACCAGCACCACAACAACAACCAGCATCATCCACACATGCAACAGCCGCACCAGCAACAGCTCCAGCAACACCATCACCCACCGCATCACCACCAGCACCATCAGCAACAACACCATCCCCACCAGCCGCATAACCACAACCACAGCCACAGTCACCACAACCACCATAATATGGCCCACCACCCGGCGGTGCACCATATGCAGCTGCACGGAGGAGTCCACGGCATCAGCATGGGGATGGGGGGCATGGGCGTGGGCGTAGGAATGGGAGTGGGTGTGCATATGCATGGTGGAGGTGGGGGCGGTGGAGGAGCGGGTGTCGGTGTCGGTGGTGGCGGTGGCGGCTACCAGCATATGGCGCATAGAGGTAGATCAAATAGAACAACACGATCTCAAAAACTGCATCCATATAACAATCATGCACAGAAATTTATTTAAAACACACAAAAAAATTAATTTCTTTACACCAATATTAGCTGCATCTCACAGGTGAAGTGGTCATGCTGCCATTGCCACATTGCAGCCACTCCAGCAGGCAGCCGTGCAATGGCAGCAGCAAATTCCGCATCCGAATCCTCAACCGCAACCGCAGTCGCGTCCACATCCACAGCCACCACAGTCTCATCAGCCATCATACCAGCCACAACAACAACATCTGCTACCAACAACAACAACAACAACAACACACATGTCCACCATCTCCGCCAGTCAGCAACCCCCCAACCAGCCGCAGCAGTCTCGCGCGATCACCAACAACAATATGAATAGTTACAGCCAGCAGCAGTCACAGCAGCAACAGACCAACATTCAGATACCCAGCCAGTCGGCCTACTATGCGCCTGCTTACTTTGTTCCTACCTATCAGACAACAGCAGGATCAGGAGCAGCCACACCGGCAGCAGCAGAAGCAGGAGCAGCAACAGCAGCAGCAGCAGCTGTATATCCAAATACGGTTGGCTATGTGGTTACTTCTGCACCTGCCGCCACCACATATTTGGCTGCAGGAACAGCTCCTGGAGCACCACCAACACGAGCAAGACGAACTCCAACATATACCGCGACATCGAGAGAATCGGGTGGCACAACATATTATTATTATCATCAGGTCGATGAGGGATCTGGATCAACGCAAACAGTGCCCGTACCATCAGCCACACCCACAACGTATACGTATGCAACATCATCAGCAGAAGGAGCAGCATCTGCAGGAAGAGAAGGAGCGGGAACAACCACACAAGAAGGAGCCGGAGCAGATACCGCATATGTATATTACCAGTGTTCCGATTCGAACCATGTCAATACCCTCAACTACTTAGATCCTCAAACTGGGAGATTGCAAGCCATGGGTCTTGTATATGTGACATACAGGGGAGACCGAGATCGAACAGACGGAGCAACAGCAACAACACCAGCTCCAAGAACAGCTCAAGCACAACAGCATAGAATGGAGGCGAGTTGGGGGCCGGGAACAACTGGTGGTGGTGGCGGACGTGGCAACAACAACCAGGATGCTGCTGATGATGATGAGATGCTGCGCGGCACTAGCGGAGGCAGAGGCAGTGGTGGAGCAGCCGGAGGAGGCAGCAGGCACGCAGGCGGTGGCAGCTTTAACCACTACAACCGAAATCGAAACCGAAACTGAATCTAAATCATCCCCCTCGTAATATCCCGGAAATAGCCCCCTCAATACTCCTCTATCTCTCTCTCTCTTTGACTCTGTGCGTCTCTCTCTACCTAGATGTATGTATGTGTTCGTACAGACAGACACACAGAAACACACAAATGTATATATTCACACACACTGATTGATCGGTTGAAGATCGGAGGGCGAACGAAGGAAGAGAGCGGCGCAAAAAGGCATTGGCAGCAAAAACAAAAGGGATGCAGACAAAAACAAAAACAAAACAGATACACAAAGAAAACAAAAACAGAGATAAACATAACGATTCCAAGCTACGCAGATACACACACACATACACACGAGGCAAGAGGCAGGAGAGTTCTCCTTTTAGAATTTCACAAACTATTCACGTTTTACGTTTGAAACGATCGATATCCAATTCAAATTCCATTTAATTTTTGTATCAGAAGCATACAAAACATACGCACTTCCAGACAACACTCAATATCATACACATACATACATATATGTATACCATACATCTCAGAATAAACTCTGCAGAATGTTTGATTCAATTGTAAAATTATAAGAGGATCCTGGAACCTCAAAAAATTGTATGTAAAGACACACACACACACAAATTATATAATAAATATATACATATATATAAATATTCATATTCATATATATATATATGAATATATATATATATGTATGTTGAATATACAATGGATATATGTATAAAACACCCGATTCTGTAATCTGAAATTCCACATATATTTGCCATTTTGTCAAATCAGAAACTCCGCGCGAGTGCTGCTGGAAAAACGCCTTTGATAGAGTAGAAATATCAATATTATAACTCTTAAAAAAATTTTTTTTGACTAAATATAAACCTATAAAAATAAAACCCTAGTCTTGTAGAATTATCATAGATAAGGTACGTGTTTTTTTTTTTCAGACTAAATTTAAAAAAAGAAGAAAAAAACTGAAAGAAACAAGCCGAAAAATACATGTAATTAACGTTAAATATAAAATAAAAAGATACCATTACATATATATTAACCGTTATACGTTATAAACATCAAGTCAGACACACAGACTTAATTGTTAGCTCTGAAAAAGAGCGAGAGGTGACGATAAGATGAGATGAGACGCGCAGCATGTTAGCGAGAGCAGGAGCGAGCATAGTGCAAAGCAATATGGCGCCCTCACGTGATACAGAAAGAGAGAGACGACAACGGCAACAAGTCGAGGGTACAGTCGCCACCTGGGGATCAGACCCGACCGGGACCTACCACAAATCAACGAGACGAGCTTATTTTGTAAGATAAAACTATCAAAACAAAACAACTATTGTAGCATGAACAAGTGTTAAGATAATAACATAGCAGCATTGTCAGCGTGTGAAGAAGGCTGCTCTTGTCGAATAGTTAAATTTGTATTAAATATACACATTCAATGTAGTCCGTAAGCAACCGAGGGACGGAGTAGCTCAGCGCCGTCGTATAAGAAGAAAAAAAGCCCTTTACGTTTAGATTAATGACAACGATTTATCCCAAGAGCACAGAAAACCAAATGAGAGATTTATTTGTAAGAGAACCTTTTTATAAGTGTAACAGAATTTAATATATGATATACTATATGCAATGTAACTGAACAAAAGTATCTTAAAAGTGCACAGAACAAGAAAATTAGGCAAAGAAAATCTAAAGGGAGGTTGTAATATACGAAGGATAGGCATGAGGGAGTTGGATGATAGGGAATAGGCAACGAGACTGGTTTTTTTTTTCATTCTAGGACATGGACAGCAACACCCCAGAGACCAGTGGAGTATATGATCACGGATTCCATACAAACAACATAAGCCAAATACAAAAGTACAAGCCACAGCCAGTAGCTGTGAAAGTCATGAAACGGTGTCGTGCCAACGAGTATCAAAGTGTCCTGGTGCCAAAGTGCGCCGCTGTGAGCAGAGGTCCTGCCAATTCAACGGTGAGTCCTCTTGAGAAGGCAAAAAAGAGAAGAGTGCTAGAACCAAAACTTTTTTTGGCAAACCCGTGGATTTCACGAGCAATTTTCAAAATTAATGTATTAGTTAAGATAAAATGATTGATAGTTTCAACCTGTCACTATAAAACCGTTTCGGACTTTGCCAAATATACAGAGTTTTTGACAAAACTGATGTATTTTCTTAATTCTTTTCCTCCTTTAGTGAGCGAGCGCCTACAACCGGACGAACAAAGATGTAAACTGTGGCTTTCTAAATACACACAAATATTATGAAACTTGAAGACTTTTAGTGCACTTGAGGTAAAAGATCTCGTGGTTTCTTTTTGTAAGTAAAGAGGAAGGATACGATGGAGCTACAAGAAGAATTTACAAACAGTATTATTTTCCGCGCTTTAACCAAGTTGTTACCCTGTTCAAAATGAACGCGCCCAATAGGTTGACTGTTGGGGGCGATAGCTATCGATTACAGTTCACCAAATGACTTATCGACCTCTCGTTTCCGCCTTCCAGGCAAGAGCGAGAAGGAGCGATTCGAAAACAGCTGCTGGAACAGCACCACTGTGTTGGAAAACACACCGTGTATTCCAATGTCAATTAAACGAGAGGAAAAGCCCCACAAAAAACTTTAAGCAATAGTTAATCTGTCGCTACAATACACAATTGGCGACTACGAAGCTGCCCAACGGCATCGAATTTCACCCAAGAGGATTGGAAACTGAGAGTTATCAGAAATATATAGAATAAACAATCACCGCAAGACAGTGACCAACGACAGCGCCACAGAGGGGATAGCGGACTACGCAATAAACGAGATAACGACCTTCCACCGCTCGTCGCTCCCCTCTTCCTGCTCACGTTCTACCCTCCCTCGGACAGTGCTTGCCACTTGCTGCTACTGCAGCGACAGCTTAGTGCGTCTCCGTCTAGTGGCTTGGTAACTCAATTCGAGTGGCCGCCGCAGTGACGCGACAGCGAAATGCCCCAGACGAGGGCTGCGGCCGCTGAGGCAGCGGCGGCGGGCACCGTCAATGGCCAGCCGCTAGTGAAAATCGGGCATTATCTGTTGGGCGCCACGCTCGGTACGGGCACCTTTGGTAAGGTAAAGATCGGTGAGCATCAGATTACGCGCGTCAAGGTCGCCGTCAAGATTCTTAACAGGCAGAAGATCAAGAGCCTAGATGTGGTGGGTAAGATTCGGCGAGAGATCCAGAATCTGAAGCTCTTCCGGCATCCGCACATCATTAAGCTTTATCAGGTAAGGAGTCTTAAATTCCTGTGTCCCGAAGTCCTGTGTGATAAGTTCCCCCTTGCCCGTTTCCCTTAGGTGATCTCCACCCCATCGGACATCTTCATGATCATGGAGTACGTGAGCGGCGGCGAACTGTTCGACTACATCGTGAAACACGGCAAGCTGCAGGAGCATCAGGCGCGCCGCTTCTTCCAGCAGATCATCTCGGGCGTGGATTACTGTCACCGGCACATGATTGTGCACCGCGACCTGAAGCCGGAGAACCTCCTGCTCGACCACAACATGCACGTGAAGATCGCTGACTTTGGGCTATCGAACATGATGCTGGACGGAGAGTTCCTGCGCACCTCGTGCGGCTCTCCCAACTATGCGGCGCCCGAGGTCATTTCGGGCAAGTTGTATGCCGGTCCCGAGGTGGACATCTGGTCGTGCGGCGTCATTCTGTACGCCCTGCTCTGCGGCACGCTGCCCTTCGACGACGAGCACGTGCCGACGCTCTTCCGAAAGATCAAATCGGGCATCTTCCCCATACCGGAGTACCTCAACAAGCAGGTGGTCAATCTGGTGTGCCAGATGTTGCAGGTGGATCCCCTCAAGCGGGCTAACATCGAGGAGATCAAGAAGCACGAGTGGTTCCAAAAGGAGCTGCCCGCCTACCTCTTCCCCTCGTCGATTGAGCAAGACTCGAATGTCATTGACACCTATGCCGTGGCCGAGGTCTGCACCAAGTTCGGGGTCAAGGAGCTCGAGGTGCACAACTCGCTGCTCAGCGGCGATCCACACGACCAGCTGGCCATCGCGTACCACCTGATCATCGACAACAAGCGCTTCGCTGACGACGCCGCCAACCAGATCAACGAGATCAATAACTTCTTTGTGGCCGGGTCCCCGCCGCCGCCGCCAATCGCCACCCATGCATCGCACGAGACCCCAGGACAAGCCTCCGGCCAGACGCCTCTGGCCACGGTAACTGTGGGCGGCGGAACGGCCGCCAGTTCGGGCAGCGCCACGCCTGTGCCACCCGGAGTGGCGCCGCCGAGCAGCAGCGTTCTGGCCGCCATACGACCGCATCCGGAGAGAATCGCACCGATGCGCGACCGCCAGCTGGCCATGTCCGTGCAGAACTCGGGCGGCGCTGCCTTCCCCGAGAAGACGGCGCGCGGCGGTACACCCATCAAGCGGGCCAAGTGGCATTTGGGCATACGATCGCAGAGCAAGCCCAACGACATAATGCTGGAGGTGTACCGGGCCATGAAGGCGCTCAACTACGAGTGGAAGATCATCAATCCGTATCATGTCCGTGTGAGGCGGCAGAACGTGAAGACGGGCAAGTTCTCGAAGATGTCGCTGCAGCTGTACCAAGTGGACGCCAAGAGCTATCTGCTCGACTTCAAGTCCCTCACCAATGAAGAGGTGGAGCAAGGGGACGACGTCATCATGGAGAGCCTCACACCGCCACCGCTTAGCGTGACCGGGTTGATGCCGCTCCAGCCGACCGGCCACCATACCATGGAATTCTTCGAGATGTGCGCGGCGCTCATTATACAGCTGGCGCGCTGAGCCCCCGGATCCACATCGGTCCATAGTCTACCCCCAAATGACAACAGTAAATGGCATCTCCGCCGCGGGGCAGGGCTCTCCTCTCCCGGTGGCATGACCATAACTAAGATTTAAACTAAAAGAACAGAAGAATGTTTCGTAATTGGATGATGCCATTCAGGTCATCCGACAATCCGCTACCCGCTACCGTTAGCCGCGTATCCGCTTGACCGCTTTGCTTTAACCGAATCGACCCTAGTTTGTAGATCTGTTCTGTTTCTATTTTATACACGTTGAGTTATTATTTTACACCCCTAATTGTATATTGTATCGTATCGTATGTTTCCGTATACTCGTACTTCGTCTTCGTATTTATCCCCAAACGAATCCGCGTCGCATCGCACGGGAGTGCGCCAGATGTCAGTTATTAGTTTGTAGTCCACTACTCCGGAGGAGGCGGTTTAATGTGTTTTGGGGCAGGCCAGTTCAGTTCCATAAACTATGTATTCGTATAAACAAAAGCCTTAATAAAGCAACCAAATAAACCATTCTATTGCTATCTCTATCTAACCAGGAACTAAATCACTTTTCCCATCCCACTCCATCTCTATGATTGATTCGCTTACCAACACTGATCCACTCAGCTGATCCGCTGCAGTTTTGAGTGCCGCATTCCGATTCCCATGGGAATGGTAAGCAGCAACAAGTCGAAATATAAACCAGGTTTAATGTTACTATGATTATATATTAGATTTTTATTGCATATTAAAAGTATTCCTGCTGCTGCATAAGGGTTAGGCTATCTATCTACTGCGGTTACAGTCTACTCTGGTTCGTTTTTTATATAAAATCTCGATTTGCGGCAAAGCTATACTATTGTATCCGAGGCCCCCATCCTTAATCCTGGTAATCCTCCTCTATTGCTTCTGCTGTTGCTTCCGCTTCAGCTTGTCGATCAACGTCTCGATGCTGTTGGCATCCACCAGGCCAATGAATTTATCCACCACAACGCCGTTGCGAAAGGCAAGGACGGCGGGCACGGCCTTCACCTCGAATGTCTCGACGAGATCCAGGTTCGTCTCCACATCAATGATGGCCACATCTATTTCATCGGAGTTCTCCAGCAGCTCCAGCATCTTGGGTGTGAGTATTTTGCAGGGGTCGCACCACTCGGCATGGAAATTCACAATCACCGGATTGTCGCTGTTGATGACCTGGACACAAACCCAGACCCAGAGAGGAGAAGATATTAGTTCGGGACAAATACTAGATCTTTGGACATTTCGAAACAAAATAAAAAACGGGCTCAAACCGGTAACAGCCCGCCGTTTTGGGCTCATTTGCATACACGAGCTATTCACTACACACACATACACACACACACAGAGATAGACAGTCGCATAGCCAAATGCGTCATGGGGTGGCTAGTTGGCTCGCTGTTTACGGCCGGAACCGCTCACGTACACCAGATAGTATTGCAGGTGCCGCATGCCAGAATCATTGCATAATTGTGCCTGAGGCGCGCACTTGCTCACTCGCTCGCACTCTCTCTCTCTCTCTCTCCCTCACCTTCTGATCGAACTCGTAGTGATCCTTGATGACCAGCTTCTTGTGCAGGTGCTGCGACTGGGATAGGTACTTCTGTGTGGCCCTTGCAGACTGTGGGGCCACTCGGTGGCAACTGCTCTGGGCGCTGGCGCTGATTAGGCAGCAGGCGGCCAGACGTGGCGCGATTCCCTCGGCAGCAATCTTAAGCATTTTTTTGCCAGTGGAATTTCTGCAGGGAACAGGAGTGTGTGCGCGCGATTTGTGGGGGTAGGCTGCGATACCGATTTCGATTACAATGTTCTCCGGGGCTGGGATTCTGAGCGTATTCGGAGTGGCCCAGGCGATTAGATTATAATGATGTTGTTCAAATAGATTTTCTCTGTCTTCACTCAGCGCGTTTTGGTATTGGTATTAATTGTTTGTTTATAAACAGCACGGCCTATCGAGTGGACTATCGAGCTATCGCCGAACAGAGTGGCAACATTGGTCAATGATATTCGGCATTCGGCATATTATTCAACACTTGGGTGCGTGTGAGTGCTGCCAGATTTGCGCAATTGTCACATTCATTCCCGCTCGTGCATTTTGGATTTGTGGCAGTTCGTGTTGTTATTCTTTTGCTGCCGCTGTTGCCTCTCCACGAGCCACGAGCGGTACGAGAGCCCTGTTTATCGCAAAAGTGTTTACCTATTACTACTTTTTGTGAATTTTTTTGTTTGTGTGCTGCCCCAAGTAAAGCAAAAGTGTAAACAGAATCCGTGTGCTGGAAATCGGGCTGGAGGAGAAATATCCTTTGCGTATATTCTACGGATATGTAATTGTTTGGTGGGTTTCAGGGTCGCCCTCTGCGGGCCCCCACCGTGTGTGTGTTAAGTCCAGCTCAGAGTCCGTGGATGTGCCGGTGGGGGAATGACCCATGAGATGAGAAGGCCTTCCTTCATAAAAAGTATGCTTTTGTCGTGGGGGGTCGGGGTGGAGCCTTCGTCCTAAGCGGGGGTTTCAATCGGAAATTATCGGAATCCCAACTGGAGAGAGGCTCGGATTTTTGTGACTGTGTTAGTGTGTGTGTGTGTGTGTGCGTGTTCAAGAAATTGCCCATATTTTTCCACCCCATTTCCAAAACGCGGCCACAGCTCGACCCCTGCCTGAACCAGAATCAGAAACAGAACTCAGGTCTCGGCTCTGTTTCTGTCTCCGACTCCGGCTCGCAGTTATTTTTGGTGCGCAGCTTCCCTTGAGCCGGATTTCGTTCTTGTCCTTATTGTTCGCCCTGCTGTTGCTGCAGTTTCAACCCCCTTTTGTGCCCAGGGGGTATGGCCATTGGCATGGGCATGGGCAGGGGAGCACCACACAGCATCTTGAAACGTGTTTTGACGGGATGGATGGCTATGGATATGGTTGGCTTTCGCACAGCTGTTCTGACTCTGGGCTTCTGCGTCGCAATATCCTTGCCGCTTCCCCTGCCCCATTCCCATTCCCTCTTCTTCTTTTCTCTGTTGTATTTTGGTGGGATTTATGACATCAACACACGCTTTTGGCACACCGCCACAACACACACACACTTACACACACAGATGCAAGGGCAGTAACGGTCGCAAGCTTTGTCCTTTTAGTCCAAAGCTCCACATCCGTCGTCTCGCTCTGCCGCTTGATTCGTGCTTACAGTTAGGTTAGGTAGTAGGCCCGAAAGCCCGCCCGCCCCGAGCTACAGCGAAACGAGCGAGGCTTTGGTTTGGCTTGGGGTCGAAGTCGAGTGTGTTTGTGTGTCTGTGTGTCTATTGGTGTTGGTGTTGGAGCGCGACTTTTTCTTTTGTGGTGTGCGTGTCCTCCATGTGCGTGTGCTCCCCTCCCTATCTATCATCTTCTTCGTTGATTTGTGTGTTCCGAGCGTCGTTTTTCCCTTCCCCCCAAGGTGCGTTCTAAGGTAAGGTGTGGAGGCAAATCAGTTTGGCTTAACCATACCTTTTTGTTAGCATGTAAACATACCCCAGCAATGCCAGCAATATGGGCACCTATCGGGAGAGTAATCTGTGTGGGCATCACCTCCGGCATATGTTTGCGGCAAGTTGTGGCAATACATCCTTCAGGGATCCTGCTAATATTGACAGACGAGAGGAATCATTATCGGATTTCCTCACCCTGTAATTAATGCGAAGTCTATGTGCATTTGTATCTATGGCAAGGTGATATGGGTTCTTTACCGCATTTCGAGAGTTGCCCATTGGCTTACCCATACCTTTTATCGAATATACTCTGGCAGGGACCCTCTTTCTCTCTCTCTCTCTCTCTCTCTCTCTCTCTCTCTCTTTCCCCGGCGATAACCTCATCTCCTGCATACGCATTGGCTTTTTATTTAGCTTTTGTTTCATTAGTTGCTTATTTCTGAATGGCGGTTTCTTCCCCTTCCTTCTTTTGCTGTTTCCCTGCCTTGACCTTAGAACCTCCTCTTCTACTTCTACTTCTACCTCTACTTCGACTTCGACTTCTTCTTATTCTGCCTGTCCTCTTTTACTCCCATATCCTGTGCGCTTGTCCTCGATTTTTCTTGAAAATTAATTGTTATCGATTGACTGCAAAGCCTGCTTCCATATGCGTCCTGCACGAGCCACGCACTGACTATTTTTTTTAGGACATTCCAATTAAGTGCCCTAACTGCATTTTTTCAGGGCCCCAGCCAGTGCATTGCTCTTGCGTGTGCTTTGGGGTGCCCTTAACTATCCCCAGTTTTCCATTCGCTTTGCTTTGGCGCCCTGGACAGTAAGTAGATGAACAGGAAGAGGGCGTGGAGACCCCTCAAGTTTTGATCACTTCCAGGAATGTGTGTTCCACGAGTGGAACAAACTGAACATTTGGAAAGCGCCGACTGACGGTTTCAGAAGTGGTGGGGGGCTGGGTGGGGGGAAAATTTTTATGATGCTTTTGGCCTAAAAATATCCGCCACGAAAAACGAAATTCGTTATTTCGTCTCTGAACGCTGATCCCAAGTTCGATTCGGCCTCGGTGTCGGATCGGTGCTGCTGCCGCTCTACTTCTCTGCCTGCCCCTCCACGTAGCCAGAGAGAGGGGGGCGGGGGGATGGATTCCATGTGTCTAATTATGTGCCTGTCTTGGACGGGCAGGTCGCTCACGGATCTCCTACTCCCATGATCTGCTCAAAACCCACCCCATGCCGTGCAACTCCGCACTTCAGAATCCGATCCAATCCAATCCAAGCTAGAACTCTCTCTCTCGCCTCTATTTATGGATCGGTCTAAAAATAGTTCTGAGGCTCTACTCGGGGCTCGAGCGCCGCCTGACGAAGAAGGTGCCTCAAGAAGAATGGAAGTTCAATTACCTTTAAATGGATTACACAAACAAATAGCAAGGGTAGGAGCAGGGGGAAGTAGGGAATAGAGAGAAGGAGACATGGGAAGCCTATATCAAACATAGATACACACACACATACAAGATAAAGTAACACAAACACAGATACAGACACAGACACAGATGCAGATATAGCTATAGAAAGCAGTGCCCGATCGTGTCGCGCTCTCTCGGTCTGATCCCGACTCCCTCCCTCCAACTCCTGAGGCCTCGCTTCCCCAACTCTCTCACCTCCTTTCGCTCTGTATCTGTGCACGTCTGTGCCCCTGTTCTAGCCGTGGAAGGGATGGGTGTGAGGGGGGGGGGCTTGTCGGCAATGCTGCCAAAAATAAATTTGAACTCAAATCCGTAGCACAGGCGGAGAGACAGGGCCAGGGAAAACCGTTTCGAAAGCGAGTGCCAAGAAAAACCAACGCAATGAATTTCCCCAAGAGCCAAGTACCGAGAGCCAAGAGTTCGCCCCAAGAAGAGCCCCGTGTCCAAAAATCTCGGGAAACGAGAATCACAGAGTCCCAGAAATTAGAGAAGCGGATGCCAGAGCGGGAGCAGACTTTTCCAACTGTGGAGGCGCTGCAGAGTAGGCTCAAGTGGAGCACGGAAAATGAGGGAAATATGGGGGAGCAAAATGCATCCCGAATTCCCTCTCTCTGTGTTTACAAATATCTCCAGCGTATCTTTTGCAGGAAGCACGGAGGAGTAAGGGCAGGGGCCGCCTCCATGACGCAACGCATGCCGTCTACGTGCCACCACGGAGGAGGCGAGGCCTCAAACGTGCCCCGACCTCATTAGTTTCGAGTTTCCAACAAAAAAAACTCACACACATCGAACCCCGACGGTTGGGGCCGTGGGGAGGGGAGGGTACGGTAGGGGAAGGGAAAAAGCCAAAATGGAAAATGGGGAAAACGCTTTGGCCCATCAATTTTCCATCTCATCTGCGGCAGGCACCGAGAGCGGCCAGAGAGCGAGAGAGAGCTTAGACTGTGGCTATTTGTAAACGCGGGCACAGATGCCCAAAAGTGTGTGCCCATTCATGCACCTCCCCGCACCCAGCCCGCAAAACACCCCCTCGAAAAGCCCCAACCCACACTCCTAGCCAAAACCGATCTCTCCGTGTCTCCGGCTCTCTCTCTCTCTGTCTCTGTTGCCGCTCTGCCAATCTCTGGGGCAGCTATTTTTAAAGTCGAAAAGTCTTTTCCGACGCTGCCAAGTGGCCAAGAGATGCCAAGTACAGTTGCCTACTCACATGGCTGAGCGAGCGATCAGCGGCCTCAGGAGGGATGGGTGGAATGGGACGGCGGGTTTGCAATATTTCCTACTTATGTACATATGTGTCTGGAACTTATTAGCCAGGAAGTCAAGGGAGTGTCATGGAAAGAGTCCAGGATGGAGGAAAGTCCTTCTGTGAGCTAAACTGATCTTTGATCCTTCTTTAATGCTCTATTTTATAATGGAAAGCAAATCATATTCTACATATTAGTTGGAGATAATCCATGTATTATGATGGTACTGTCGACTAGTTTCCGATGGAAATACGATCAAAGAACGACAATCAGAGTGCTACCCACAGATATGAAGAGATTTCATTATTGGATTGAATGGGTTTCAGTTGAGAAGCTGCAGAAGATCTGTTCCGACTCCAAAATTATATTTATTTTCATATGCAAATATGTTTTCTATTTTATAAGTAAACAGTCATCTTTCAAAAGCTAAGCTAAGGAACATGTCTAGAGTTATCTGAAGGGCTGTTCTAGAGATGAGAGCTCCAGGCCGATAAGAGATCATTGCACTTTGGAGCTAATAGATGTACGTTTATGTACGTTAATAGTCGCTTGCTTTCGGGCTCCATTGGCAACCATCAGAAAAATGGAAGCTGAGTTTGTATGTAAAGAAATTCAAAGAACTCTTTCAAGAAAAATCGGTACTTAAAAGCTCTCAAGAATCAAGGGTATTAGAGGCCAAAGGGTATCTAAGGTTGCATAGAGTATCCATGGATATTTTGCCGCAAAAGGAGTTTTTCTATCACTGTTAGAAACACCAAAGAAGTTTATGGAATACCTTTAGGGAAAGTCGGTATTCTGCAGCTCTCCAGAACTAAGGGTATTCGAAGCCTTCCTTCACCGGAGATACATGTATCTTCCATATATTTAGCCATCTATCTATCTATTTCGATTTACGTTGTGATTTTTGTGTATTGTGCGGCGCAATGTAAAAACAATTTTGTTCGAAGCTCCGCTCTTTCCCTCTCTTTCTGGCTTTTGGGCGGACACTGCCGTCGACATAGATACACGGATACGAGCACGGGGATACAGATGCACAGATACACCGATACACCGATACAGAGGCAGAGCAGAACTTTTGGTTGGAAATTTGCCAACCCCTCATGGGGCTTTTCGACGATCAGCTCGACCCCGCATCCGTGCCATGGCTGGGGAGCTGGTGGCCGGGGGCGGTGGAGGGGCTGGCGATGGCGGCGTGCACCTTCAGCCGACGCTCCGCTCGGAGAGGGGCCAACAGGCTGCGACGGCTGCTTTCGGCCCACTGTTCGGGGCTCGGGGCCGGGGCTGGGGCCGGGGCGGGTCCGGTTCGGTCCGATTCAGCAACTCAAGTTGGCCGCGTGTCTGAATTCAGTTTTCAGTATCCAATTAGACTGCGACTGCTGCTCTGTGCTCTGCTCTGCTCTGCTCTGCAACGAACGCGGCGGCGAAAGCGAAAGAACACGGAATCGGAATCGGAATCGGAGTCCCAATCGGATCGAAAGCAGAATCGGTACGACGCCGACAAAATCCCGACAAACGGTTTTCGAATCGGGTAAAGATCGGAGCGGTGTGCTGCCGCTCTCGTGTTCGCGCTTTTCTTTCTGTTTCCTTCTGTTGTGTGTGTTTTCCACTTGTGTTGTTGTTATATTTCGTTCGGTGCGTCGGCTATTTCGAGAGGGGGATTCAGAGTGGTGTGCTGGCTGCTGCAGTGGCAGTGGCAGTGCCAGTGGCAGAAGGTAGGAAGGTACATGGGCTGAGGCTGGGAATGGGAATGGGGCTGGGGATGATGTGGTTGATCATTTGTTTTTTCTGGCAGAACGCTGGCCGCCAGAACGCGTGGGCGTTTGAAGAGGGCCAGCTCCGCGCTTGCTGTGCCTCTGTATCTGTCTCTGTCTCTCACTTTGTCTCTGTCTGTGATCTGCTTTCTGTTTGTTTGTAATTGCCGAGAAAGAGAAGATCTCCATTCCTCGAATTCTTGATTCGTCATAAACATACATACAGCCATACAGCCATACAGCCCAGAGCTATATATAAAACAGCCCCGAGTCCATGACTGCGTCTTTATATGGGTTGCTTTAAAATTGTCAGGGAATTGTCTCTAAGCTGCCAATCCCCTGAAAGAGGGTCTAAAGATAGAGAGGAGGCATACGAGAGGATTATTCTCCGCTTAACAAGGAGGGAGTTCCAGTGGAATTTATCTTGGAGCGGGCACTCAAGGATCCACTCCATTAGACTCCAGTAATTGAGAATTCAGTAGAGAATGCCACAGCACATCCGAGTGAAAGTTCCCTTTTTGTATAGCCATCTGTTTTAGTGCCTTTAAGAAGGGATTTTTTTCCAGTATAATATCATAGATACATACATATGCCTAAAATTATTCTTATGCCACTGCTCTCTCTTTCTCTGCTGCGCCGTAGCCGTAGCCGTAGCTTATCGAATCCGCCGGAATCAGAATCGGAATCGGATCGGGCCAATGTGAGTCACGCGCTCCAAGTTCTCGTGGAGCCACAAGCCCACCTTACGGCCGACGATAAGATAATGCTCAACCAACAGTCAGTCGAGTCAGGCCAGTGGCCAGATTAGATATTGGTAGTTTCAACCATGGGTTTCCGCCCCCCATCCCCTACCCCGTAAAGGGGAGGTTCTGATCTGCCCAGATAAGAGAGGAGAGGGGAAAAAGGGAGCGTGGAGTGCGGGGAAACCCAAGTCTCTGCCCCGTCCCCGTCCCCATCGCCATCGCCATCCCCGTGTCACTGCCACTGTTTCCACCTACTCTTCCTCTTCTTGTGTATCTATTGGCCCCTCTCGGTCCATCTCCCTGTCTCTCTTTGTATCTGTCTATCTCTCTCGTTTGATGTTTACGTTTTGGCGTGATTTCGTATTAACAAAATTTGTTTTATGTATTTTTAATTTTAGTCCAAGGTTTAAAACAACAAAAGCGAAACGAAAGGAAAGCAAAGAAGAACAACAACACGACGACGGGGAGCACAGAAGAAGAGTAGATCATCTAGAAGAGGCGCACAAGAAGCCGAAGAAGGGAGAATGACAAAAAGAAAAGGATAGGAAAGGAAACCATAAAGGAGCAGCAGAAACTAAAGGATAAAACTACTGCAGAAAAGAAGGTGATAAGCAACAAGGGAAAACAGAAGGAAAAGCTGGAAAAATAACAGAAGAAACAGAAAGAAAGAAAACAAAAAAAAGAAGCAAGAGAAGCTACAACGCAAAGCCTGCTGCAGAAACGCAGAAGAAACGCATACAAAGAACCCCCCACCCCCCTCCCAACAAAAACAACACGAAAGTCTTCAGCCCAGAAAGAGAGACAGATAGAGAGCGAAAGAGAGCATCGCACTGCATAAAGAACGAGCGAAAGAGAGCGGGTCGGGTTGGCGGTCAGCGTCGTTGTGGGACACCAAGACGTGCAAATCGCGCATACGCCGCGTGAACCGATAGCCAGCCACAGGCACAGGCACAGCCAAAACCATAAACCGAAATTATTCAGTCGAACAGTCGGCCCGAAACTGGCATAGATCCAGCTTCAGACAGTTGAAAAAGGCTAAGCGAGACGGAGAGCTGACCGAGAGAGAGAGAGAGAGAGAGAGAGAAAGAGTGACCGGAAAGCGGAAAGACTGAGAGGGGCCGAGGATCACACTGCAAAAAGTGTGAGACAGCGGCAGCGAGGGAGAAACGAATTCAAACTGCAGCCGGCAACAGATCCAGGTGAGTGGAATGGGGAGGGCAGGGTAGAGTTTCAAACTGAAAGCTCTCTTTCCTGGAAATTTCCAGTCTAAGGATAAAGGAGAGAGCTTAGAGCTCCGGCCGTTGTTGAGACTCTTCCAGCGTATTATTCCACTTCCAGTTTAAGTGGGATTTCCAGTTCCAGTCATTTGCAGTGAATGTCATACGAGCTTAAGAAAAAGCTTCAAACATACAGCTTGGGATTGCAGAATGTCTTTAGAATGAGAATGAAACAGATAGATAGATAGATGAAGCTTGAACCTTGGTGGGTGGGGGATGGGGGAGGGGGTGAGGGAAAAAATAACGAACCCAAATGCGGGCTTGGAATGCCGAATGGAAGACTGGAAGGGGGATTGCACAACTCTGTTCCAGCATTTCCAAGCGCTTTTGCTACGCTCACAGATACACACACACACACACACACGCAGACAATTGAGCGAGTAAGCGTTTTGCCCTGCCGGAGACGAGCGAGCGGCAGCCGAGGCAGCGGCCGCAGTAAAAATTCTCAACTCAAACGCAGCGGATCGGCCGCCTCGAAAGTTTTGTTTTTTTTTTTTGCTGGGAAAATGCCCCCCGTCCGCGGCCACAGGCGCTCCTCGAGACAGCCACCGCGTCTGATTACCCCCCATCCCGTGAAGAAGAACAGCAGAAGAGGAAGAGGCAGCGGCAGAGGCAGAGGCAAAGGCAGAGGCAGAGGCAGCAGCAGCAGTCGCGGCAGCCACAAGATCAGGACGGGTGCTGGTAGGCCGAGGAAGGTGCTGCCGCCGTTGCCATTGCCGTTGCCGTTGCCGCCGCTCATTGGACGCAGGTGCGTTTTGTTTTTGGTTTTTGTTTTTGGGGCCGAACTTTATCTCGGACTTGGTGGATATCTAAGAGAGACAGAGAGAGGGAGAGAGAGAGAAAGGGAGAGACACAGAGCGGCCTTATCAGAGAACAAACAAAGCCAATTAGAACTTGAAACTCTCTGTGGAGTGGGGAGGGAGAAGGGGTTTGGATGGAAGCTTCACTCCCATTTCAAATCCCATTCCCTTTAAAACCCCCCCTCAACCACACCACACGCTTGGGGCTCGCTTTTTATCAGCGGCTTATCAGTAAATACTTCCACCTGTTGTGTACAGTTACACTCTCGCTCTCTCTCTCTCTCTCTCTTTGTTTTTGTGTGTGTGTAGATAAGTTGAGGTGAGGTATCGCTTTGCTCTGCATTAAGCAACGCTTGTTATACCACACACAATGAGAAAGAGAGAGACAGAGAAGGAGAGTATAGGTAATCGGCAGAGTCCCCAAAAAGTAAACTTTGCTTTTGTTTGCCATTGCTCAGCGGAAAGCCGCCGTCGCGACGTGCTGCGGCTGCGGCTACGGAGGCGGCCAGTGCGGCTCATTGCCAGGCGGATTTCATAGATAACCGCAGCCCGAAACACTCCCCCCCCCCACACACACACACACACCCACACTGCTAGTCTGTGCCTCGAATCTTATCTTAAAAGTTGACTCCCAACATTGTCATAGCGGGGCGCATTGACGCAGAAAGCGTTAAACCAAGCAGAAAGCCTACTCATCCTAGCCCTCCCATTCCCTTTATTTGAGGAGGATCGCAGGACACCCCTAGCCACCTCCCGAGCCTAGCCCTCTCTGTTATTGAGGTTAAGTCCGCCACATCCATTATTTACGGCCTCGTGTCCGTCCACCGCTCTATCAACAAAATGCAACTCTGCAATCGCGCTCACACGTTCTTGTCGTCTCTAATTCTGCGCACCTCTTCGTCTTCCGTCTCCCGTCACCCGCATTCGTCACAACCCTTACTTTGTTGCAGCTTAAAAACTACAGCTACATTTGAGCTCGAGTCTCGTGTGTGTGCGTGTGAGCGTGCGTTTGTGTGGCTGGCTGTCTTTGCATTTATTTATAAACTGCGCTCATTGTTGCGCCCTCTCGCGCTTTACTCCTGGCTCGGCCTCTCTCCCGCTCTTGCTCTGTCTCTCCTTATTCAAGTTTCACGCTGATTCCTCTCGCGCGCTTTGCTTCTGCTTCTGCTTCTGCTGCTGCTGCTTCTACGGAGGCGACGGCGGGGTTGTTATTGTAAACTCGGTTTCAAGCTTTAATTACATTTATACATTGTGTCTGTGTGTGTGCGAGTGTACAAACAGAGGAACCCCATTCAGGGCCCCAGCTGTGTGTGGCCCTCGTCGCCCCCCCCCTTGTCGTCACTCCTTCTGCTCTATGCGGTGTTGCTGCTGCTGCTGCTGCCGCTGCTTGCGGGCCTGCGCGGTATTCCTATTTTTGTTTGCCCATTCGTCGACGCCGCCGCCAACCGCCCGCCGCCGCCGCTGTCACTGTTGCTGCTGCTGTAGCTGTTCTTATTGTTGTTGTTGTTGTTGCTGTTGCTGCACTCCAACGGTACTTCTGAGCGTCCCAACCATTTGCTCGAAATACGAATTCAGTCGAGCTTTGTGCTTCGTCGCCGCCGCCCGCGAAGTTGCTGCGCACTAGTTCGTGTTCGTGTTCGTGTTCGTCGTCGTGTTCGCTTCGTTCTCTCGTTTTTTGTTTTTGGTCGGCGTCTGGTAGTCCACCCACAAAACCCCCCAACATACACACACACAACACCACAGCCCACCTCTCTTTGCTCGTCGTGTCGTCCGTTTGCCGGCTTTGGCGCGGCCTCAAAACGTGAGTACTACTCCCCTGCCCCTGCGCTGTCGTTTTGTTTTTGTGAGTGCGAGAGAGCTTCACGCTAATCTCCAATTTAAGATTAGATATCAGCCGGCAGTGCCCAGTGCCAGGCCAATGCAGCCCAGCATGTTGTCACTTATTGTGGGTTTTGCTGCATTGCTGTCACTCCTGCACCTCTATCCTCTCTCTCTCTTTTTCAAGCTTCTGTCTAAGCTTTAAGCTCAGTCAAGCTTCAGGATCAGGGGGCTCCACAATCAATATATGTACATAGGTACGACAAATGACTGGGGGTCCTGTCCGAAATTACGGCGTCACGCGCACATTTACAAAGAGGAGAAGGGCGGAGAGGGGGATGGGCTGGCGGGGGCTTACACAAACGAAGCTTTCGGCTTCACCGTTAGCTGCGTCGCCAGCTTATCAGCGCACGTGTGTGTGTCTGTTTGTAAGTGTGTGTAAGTGTGCGTCTGTGTAGAAGAGTAGAGAATTGTTTTTTCCAATTGCCTGTTTGTCCCCGTACTTTATTTTATTAATTAAAGAACGGCGCCGTTCTGGTCTAGGTGGGGATTGATAGCGACGAAGCTTGTGCGCTGCGCGATCCGCAAGATATGTATCTTTCAGACTTAGATTGCGCGTCAGAAGAGTCACTCGATCCACAAAGAATGCAGAAGAGCGGCACCTGAGGAGCTGGATCGATGGGCAGACACGTAGATTTTGGTAGTTTCAGGTCTACCGATAGGCAGCATTGGAGGGCGTGCAGCCTGGAAGTGGATTGCTGGATGAATGAGAAAACAGGAAGCGGGCTCAAAAGGATGGAAGAGGAAACGAAGACTTTCGATCGAGCGTATCATTTCGTCAAATTCTATTCGAAGTTTACTCGATGGGATCTGTACGATTTATAGGAGTATAATGCCTGTGGAAATACAATCCACCTCCAAAAACGGTTATCAGTTAAGAAGTAGGATGAGGATGAATGGAAATAAGATGGGTACCTTCTTTAACAACCGTGCTCCTAGAGTCCTAGAGTCCTAGAGTCCTAGACGCTAAAGAGAGCCCTGAACAAACCCTAACTTCCACCCAACCTTATCCATTTATTTATTTTTAATTGTATACCTTACCCTCTTCCCCTCATGCAGCTTCAAGACGTCTTGCAAACGGCTGAAAATGGAAAAGACTCCCCGGTACACACAGCGGGAGCGGAATATGGTGCTCGGCTACGCGGCGCAGTACAAGGAAGTGATCGAGAACAAGCGCACGGACGCGGAGTCCAACCGGAAGAAGGACGAGGTCTGGCTGCAGATCGCCAAGGAGTTCAACTCCCAGGTGTACCATCAGCGCAGTGCCAAGCAGCTGCGCCAGCTCTACAAGAACATGAAGCTCCTGCTGAAAAAGGACCTGTGCGGCGAAGACAAGACCAATGGCACCTTCCTCGATCTGCTCAACACACTGTCGCAACAGGAATCGGTGGCTCAGTACATAGCCACGCAGATGTCCCCGAATGGGGGCAACCAGAGCGGCGGGGCCAATGGCCATCATCAGGACGACTATGAGGACTCAAAGGTAGGTTGGCATCTGGGGAGCGATCTCTATAACCATCTCAGACAGCAGGTCACTGATCAACTGATGCTTCAACAGATGCCGCCATACGACATGGACACGGACGTGGTCCTGATCAAATCGGAGACCATCAGCGACAACGAGCAGACGGAGAACGGCATGGACTGCTTGGACGACGACGACGACGATGACTGCCCGAGTCCCAAGGCGCCCGAGGTTTGCCTCGAGGAGGAGGATGATGTCCTCTTTGCCACAGATCTAAGCCAGCTGCAGCAGGGCTCAGCGGGATCGGCAGGTGGCGGTGTGGGCAGCGGAATTGGTGCCTGCTCCTCCTCGTCCATGTCTCTGCCCGGCGGCCTAGCCAGCCTCAACGGACCACTGAACGGCCTCTCGGACGCAGTGCAGCGATCTGCCAGCTCGCCCGTGTGCTCCACAAAGACCTCCGTATCCTCTAGCGGCAGTTACGTGTCGTCAACCCCCAAACCGGACATCACCATCCAGACGGTGGGCCACATACGCGTGGGGTCCTTTGCCAATATCAATAAAACCCTGCACAACGGATCCGCAACGCCCAATGCCAGCAATAGCAATGGCAATGGGAACAGCAGCTCCAACAGCGCCGGAGTGCAGCACCTCACAGCGGAGCAGGTGCAGCAGCATATGCTCCTCAACGGTCTCGGTCTGTCCGCTGTTAATCCACCGCCACAGACGCTGCAAGCGGCCATCAATGCTGCCACCGCTTCCGTGCCTGCCCCGGGAACCATTGGCGGCACTGCCTTTGGCGGAAATCGTCGCACTCCACCCATCCTTCAGCTACCGCGTCTCCAGCGCGGCAACAACAACACCAACAACAATAACAATAACAACAACAACAACAACAACCACAACCCCAGTCTCGGCAGCGGAACGGCGAACGGTGTGCAACTGCTGCTCAATGGCCATCATAATCAGCATGGGCGTGATAAGGCCACGCAGGGCGTGGCCATTGGGGCCGCCGGCAGCTTCAACGGCTACAACGGCCTGGCCGTCACCGTGCCCTGCCTCAACAGCAGCAGTAGCAGTGCAAATAGCAGCGGCGGTATGCTCATGTCCAGCTCAAACGGCGGCAGCGGGAACGGAACGGGTCCGCGGACGCAGCATCAGGAGTTCATGATGTCGCTGGCCATCGAGGAGCGAAAGCGGAAGATCGACCTGCTTAATGCGCAGATCGACTACTGGCAGACGCTAACCAAGAAGCTGGGTGCCCAGCCGGGCCACTTTCCCAATCCGGCGTGCCTTTGCCACTTTCCGGGCAGCGCCGCCTTGGGCCATGTGGCCGGTGTCACCTCGTCCGCCTCCTCTTCATCATCGGCTGGTGTCCTGCAGACGCAGACGAGTAGTAGCTAGTCCGAAGAGGACGATGGCGATGATGGGGACGGGGGCGGAAGCAGGATCGTGATCGCAATTAGGAGCTCTTCGGATGAGGAGGAGGAGGATGTTGATTTCGGTCTTGTCGATGGCCAGGACAGCAGAGGCGGCAGCAGCGACATCATCTCCATTGTCGATATCAATGATGATGATAATGACGAGGATCCTGATGGACAGATGGAGGAGGAGCAGGAAGAGCTGCAAGTGCAGCTGCTTTTGCCAGCAAAGATCGCCATTACAGATATGCCGGATCTGCCAGATGAATATGATTACTACTCACAGGATGCCTTAGCCAGGGATGTGGGCGTGGTGGGTGGCCTATCACCGTCGAGCCCCTCACTGTCGCCATCCCCATCCCCATCCCTATCGCCCGCCCCCCAGCCAGCCGCCAAGCGCTCGAAGCGCCTGAAAGCCAACTCCATGCAAAGCTGCAGGGCACAGATGGAGATGAAGCCCCCTAGGAGGAGGAGCAGCTGCAGCTAAAGCTAAAGCTAGAGCTAGAGAGCTGGTCTAGTATTTCTACTAGTTAGTATTGTACGTATTAACCCAGTCGTAACGCACCTGCAACAAAATCCGAGTGCGCTGCCCCCGCACCAGCTACACGTTAACTTAATATTTTATAATACTTTTACTTTTACTTTTACTACCGCTACCATTGCTATTCATGAAGGAGTACTACTATTATTATGATTATTATTATTAATATTATTTATTTATGCCTAATTTGTGTGCCAAAAAGAGAGGAGATCAGAATTTAACTTAACCTTTCGACCTTTGCCATCGAGAATGCTTGCCAAAAACAATGATGAACGTACGCCTTAGTCAAACCAAAACCAAAACCGAAACCAAAACCCAAGCACCACCCCAACTCGCAACTCCTATTTATTTTACAACAAAAGAAACCTATGCTTAACTGTTTTTTTTTTGTATTTTTTATTTGTTTATACCCTTAAGAAAGATTTGGGGTTTTAAGTTTGAAGAGAGCTGCAACCAAAAAAAAGAAAGAGAGAGAGAGAAGAGGTGCGAACACTTTGTCTTTGTACATTTTACCTTTAAACTAAAACTGAAACCTAAAAACAAAACAAACACCAAAAGCAAAAGCTGAAACATACTTAATTAGAATGAGAATAAGGAATAGAGAATGAAGGAATAGAGAGAGAAGAGAGCGAAAACAAAAATATGAAAACTGTACAAATGTGGTTCCTAATCTAGTCCTTAAACGAAAAAGCGAAAGCAAAACACACACACACAAAACAAAAAAAAAAAAACAAAAACCACACGAAATTGTTGTATTATGTGTATTATTTTTATAAAAACGCCATCAACCAAACGCTCCACCCTCCCCTTTCTCCCGGCCCCACAGTTCCCACAACCATCCAAAGAATTATAGCTCATTTAATGTATTGTACTTAAAGAACCCCCCCCCTCAATGAAACCAAGTTCGCGTTTAGTCTGTACAGAAAGAGAGAAAGAGAGAGAGGGAAACTTGCTAGTCGTCGCTGCTTAACTGTATTTAAGTGCAACATACAAAATGATTTAGTTATTGCTAATTGAACGTGTAAAATGCAAGTAAACTGCATTCAATGTGAATATAGAATTTACAAAATGACATCAATCCCCCCCATACACCCAAAATTAAAACCGAAACCAAGAATGAAATCTTTATACAACTTTTGTAAACAAATTTATGAATAAAACAATGAATTTACTTTGTGGCCTAGCTGTGGTTGTTTGTTTTGAATATGTCTGGCGCCCATTTTTTGTAGTTATGCAGCACTAAAGCCGGTTTGCCAGACTATTGCGTGTTCGAATTAGAAATTCTAAAATAAATGTATACATTATGATAATATTGATAAGTGTAGAACATAAGCTAAGTGCACTAGCCTCGAATCAGTCATCGTCTAAAAACAATTTCCCAAATCCACTTAGCTAAACTTTCAAAACGAAATTTGTTTGGCGCCAACATTTATAGATAATGCAGCACGGAAGACAGCGCTGCCAGACATATTTATTTGTATTACTCATAGCACTAGGTAAATTTGTGAGGGACAGACCGTATATCTTTTCGGATTTTCTTGCCACCATGTCTAGCTCACACACCTTGCAAATTGTATACTTTTCGTAGTATTTTCCAGCATATTTTAAGACGCGTTATAGACTCACCTTATTGTCCAATGCACCAATGTAGAAAACGTGTAGAAATGCCATTTAGAGCTATGTTCTAGGTCTTATCGAATAACAATTCGTAATCAGTATCGAATTCTTGATCGGTTGCCATGGAATTTTTTCAATAATGTCAAAAGGCATGTCAAAAAGTGGATAACGGAGACTGGCGCTTCCATGGGGTTTCATGAAAAAAAAAAACGAGAAACAATTTTTGAAACGTACACATTTCCCCTTCAGGTGTCGCTTTTGGTAATTACATATAAATTTTGTTAATACTATGTAGCAATTGCGTAGTTAACGTGCAGTTACCATGTCAAGAAAGAAATGTAGTGGACATTTTTGTTGACCGTTTTTGCTTAAACCTTTATTTTATAAGCAATGCAATAAAGATGAAAACTTAATCGAACCAGTTTTGTAGGAAATTGATTTAATAATCGGCTAAAACTATGAGCTTAGACCTGAGGGCCTTAGCTAGCTATTAATATTTAACAGAATATCCAAAACGAAGAATATGATGCAACTTGAATGCCAATAATTCGTCAGTATATTTACAGTAGATTTTGAAATTTGTGACGTATTTTCGGTATGTTTTGATCATCGCAGCAGCGAATAAATTGCAAAATTTATGTGTGTGTGGGAAAACAGCAGCAGCAGCAGCAACAAAAGCTGAAGTGAACAAAATACCCGTGAACCTCCTCACAGCCCCCTCTGCTTCCACAGAGCGTGTTTGTGTGTGTGTCTCTGTTTGTGCGAAACGAAGTGGGTGATTACACATCGTCCCCCCTCCCCATCGACGGAGTTTTCTCCAGGCAACTGGCGCACCTGGCACCCTTACCAGCTGGCACGGAGCACCAAGGCTGGAAAGCTAACCGTCTAGCCACCTGGTGGAACCTGGAACCTGAAAAGTGGCCCCAGCTGCTGACAGTCAATAGAGAAGCGAACCGGACCCTCCGTACTGCTGCTGCTGGCCCGTGCCTTACTCCATGCCCGGCTTCCATCTCAATGAAATGGGCGAAATGGTCTTGGACGCCATCGACGACATCGGCGTGGTCGATGTGTACGACCTGGCCTCGGATATTGGCAAGGAGTATGAGCGGATCATGGATCGCTTCGGGACGGACGCGGTGAGTGGGTTGATGCCCAAGATCATCAATACTCTGGAGCTGCTGGAGGCGCTGGCCACGAAGAACGAGCGCGAGAACGCCACCATTCAGGATCTGCGGGACAAGATCACTCAGTTGGAGAGCGAGAAGCTGGAGAAGGCGGAGTTCAGGCGCCGCTTTGAGAAAGAGCTGGAGCTCATCGAAGAGCAGTGGCGCAGCGAGACCAACGAGCTGGTTGATCTGGTCTCCTCGCTGCAGGACGAGAACAAGCGGCTGGTAAAACAGACGCAGGACCTGCAGTCCTCCTCCGCCCAGAGCTCCGGTCTAGGTGCCAGCCTCACCGAGAGCATCATCAGCATGACCAACAATGAGCTGCACAGCGCCCTGTCTGACACCCAGGTGTTGCAGCGGCTCAAGGAGCAGATATACAAGCAACGGGACGAGCTGAAGCAACGTGAGCGGGAGCTTCAGGACAAGTACAGCGAGCTGGAGCATGTGAGTGGCCCGTACTCAACTTAAACTCTCACTTATTCTCTCTTCTGGTTACCGTTAACCTCCGTTTAGCTCAACATTCAGTCGGAGCGACTAAAGGGCTCGGAACGGGACACGAGGCGGCGACACAAGCTGATGCAGGCCCAGGTGAAGACGCTGTGCGAGGAACGAGCCGACTTCCTGGCCCAACTGCAGGACCAGTGCCGTGAGATCAACCAGCTGCGCAAGCGCCTCGGCCTGGCCGAGAAGGAGAACGAGGATCTTGTGCAATCGTACGACGACGATCAGAACGACCCCAATCGGCCGCGCTATACCACGCGAGAGCTCAAGGAGCTGATCAGCGAGCGGGACGAGCTGCTGACCACTATCGATGGCCTCAACGAGCAGCTGGCCGAGCTAAAGCCCCCCAGCCAGCTAAAGGCCAAGCGGTCGCGGCATATCTCCAGCTCAGATGACAGTGACGATGACGAGGGTCATTTGGCGGACAACGACGATGACGACGACGACGATGAAGAGGCGGCTGAAGCGGCAGCCGAACTTGAACCCCCAGTCGCTGGCGAGACGTGAGTGAATCTGAAAAAGGATTTGTAAACATTTTGTATATTCAAAACTGTTTCTGTTGCTTAGGCCACCTGGTCACGATGCACCCGTTCAAGGACCGCTGCCGTATGAGCCAGACGATGCGCCCTGGAAGAAGAGCTCCGAGTCGGGCATACGCAAATTGTATGAAATTATTCATCAGATGATACTCATCATACTCATGCATTCATAATCAGAATCTCTACTAAAGTTGTGTCCCCTATCGTCTCTGTTGCAGTTTCCGCAAACTGTTCTCGGATCCGTCAGACGGCAATAATACATTCCCGAAACGTTCCTTGGCCACGCTCTCCAAGATGGCGCTCTCGGCCACACCCGGCTCTGTGTCCGGCTCGGCCGCCGCCGCCGCCATATCTTTTTCCGGCGAGGCAGCGAAGTAAGAGCCCCCTAAAGCATCATCACACGCGTTGAAGTGCATCTCATTTTTTTAGTTCGCCTTTTTTTGTTTGTCTTTCCGTTCTGTTTATCTGTTTCTGTCATTTTCCATTTTGATTTTTTTCTTACTTTTACGTTTATTTGCCCACTCGCCTGCATCACTCGCCCGCATCCTATTATTTGTTTATGTATTTATTGTTTCTTTATGTTTTCATCTGTTTTAGTCTGTCTTTGTCCCTCGCTATATACCTTCTCCGTTTAAGCTGTACATACATAGTTTATACACTCGATTGCTGTGCCCTCGTAATTCTAAGTTGTTATGCGATTTTATTTACGTAAATGTTTTGTATCTTTTTGTATTTATTCTAACTTAATTTGTAACTTAATGCCCCCGGCCGGGGGCCCTCTACTAAGGTACTACTAATCTAGACCCTGACTAGCAGGCAATCAACAATACCTTCCACAAAACAACACACATCCCCCACATACATTCCTCGATGTGAACACATAATATACATACACAAGAAAATCCCAAGACCCAAGATATACGAGTATTTGAGTGGAGTGTTCAAAAGAACCCCCAGACACAGAACCAGAAGTGAGTTTTTAATGAATTTAACTATGAGCGCAGTCCCTTTTATAGAATCTGTATGAAGAAGGAACAGAATGAGTGAAGGAGTACATATGATAGATTGTATTTGTAGAGAACAGGCAGAGCAGAACCTGACCATGCCTATACCAAAAAAATACCAACAAAAACTAGAGAGAGGATAACACGAAAAGTATTTACTTCCATTAACTAAAAGTCTATCTATCTATACCATCTCTCCTGTTTTCCGCCCCCGGATCTATATGCCCATAATACTATATCTGTTGGTAGATATTTTAGCCTTCTCATAGCAGTTGCCCCAAGCGGCCTTATTCTATTACAAATTTATCAAAATACGCAAAACGTTTAGATGAAATGAGAAACCTAAAACAAATTGATGACAAATACTATATATACAAAATATTTAAATAATTAGCGAAACGTTAAAACCTTAGCGCATTGTTTGTTGAATTGAATTGCATATTGAATATTGAATTAAAAACTAATCGAAACGAAATCAAACTAAGACAAAAATTAGATTCCATTGAAAGCCAAGGCTTGCGATAGAGAGCGATAGAAGAGAAGGAGAGCATTATCAGAACCAGAATCAGAAACGAATAGACAGATTCAGACGCAGATAATGTTTTTAGCCAAAAAAGTTTACCATAGACTTGGAAAATAGCCAAGACTCGAATTGTTGTTAGCGGATTAGCGAATGTGAATACGAATTACAATGCACATGCATATACATATATGTAGAATATATAAAAATAGTCGGTTATACATGGCTTGAGAAATGTGCAGACAATTGTGGCTGAGAAATCTCTTGGGATAAGAAATACATAAAGATTCAGGTTGAGCGTGGATGGGCCTACACAAAAGGTCTGAGAGTTCTGAAGGCATGTAGTAACGTAGACCCCCCTCAGAAAAAAGGGCATATATATACAATATGTAGCATAGCAACCAGATATACATACATACATATATAATCCAAGAAACGATTCCAAGTAATTTTACCATACCACCTCTCCATCGAAGCGAGTCCTTGAGCCTAGAATATAATACGAAAGATTACAGTGTGTCCTTTATTGCCTTGAATTGGTTTAGGTTCGAATGGAAAAAGATGCTATTAAAACTCTCTGTTCAGAGCGCAGTACAGTCACAAGCTACTTCAAGATCTCTTTTTTAAGAAAATTATTTTCATTTTTCATTTTCCTTGTGTTCTGCTCCGCCTCCCTGCCTAAAAGCACAAAGCGTGCATTCCCCCCTTACATATCAGCGTTATCGATTGAAATGTGCCAAAGACTAATTGTCAGTCCCATGCACCCTGCAGCCCCAGGCCCCACAAAATCCCGCCATCCTTGTCCTCAATCGATCAATCAGCGAATCAACACTCGTTTCAATTAAAAACAAATTGTGGCAACTGAATTTTTATATATACAAGAAAACTGTATTGATGATAACCGAAGGACTAACGAAAAAGAATATTAAAAGATCACTTGAAACTGGAACGTAGGAGAGCGTATCGGGATCGGTTCGGATCGGATCGAGTGCTGGGGAGAGACATTGGATTGTATCGAGTATTTGGTGAATTAATGTTAACTAAATTTATATACACATATACACATGCATTATACATAATATACTTTACTATATACTATATATACATATATGATACCATATTATATGGAACTATACTTATGACTAACCAAAAAAGAAGCGGAAACAATTATACAATACAAATTAATATATGATATATGTGTACGTATGTACATATGTGAATGACGAGTATGGATGGACCAGGAAACGAGTGTGTGTGTGTGTGGCGTGGCGTGCAGGAAGCGACCGATTTATCCCACTGCACTGTCCGTTCATCCATTCATCAGATGTTCTACGTACGAATGAATCGCTTTATGGAGAGCATTCATCAAATAATAAAACTTATGAACAATTGAAACCAAGAAGTCATTCGAAAATTTCATTGGGTTGGTGTGGTATATCCTTCCGGCATATCCGTTACTCTGTGAGCTTTCGCTGAAAGCTCTCCACTCAGCTCGGCTCGGGTCGGCTCAGCTCAGCTCAGAGGTACGACGGCTTTACTATTACTAAATTTTACCCCAGGCTTGCATCATCTTCCGAAATGTGGGGCATCTGGCATCTGGCATCTGGCGGTTGCATGATGCGCAGCATCTCCGGCCGCATACTGCGTCGTATCGTATTGTGTCGTGTCGTGTGTCCTGCCCCATGTATGAACGACCATCCTGTTGCTTACTGAGCGCCTGTTCCATCTGCTGAGTTTGAGGCGTATCTAGGGCGTGGTGGTTTCTCAGCCAGTCAGCAGATCCTGGGGATGCGACCTTGACAGCACAGTCAGCCGAAAGTCAGCCACAGCCAGGATGCTGATGATGGCTTCGGCCCATCCTTCGTGCACCTCGTGGGGAATGTTTTAATTGCCTAGCAACAGGTAACAGGCGGCTTCGGCAGGGCCCCTCTTTGTGTCGGAAGGACGACTCTGCCACTACCCCTGTCCCCCATCCGACTTTCGCTTCGTTCAAGGCAGGGTATTTCCACGCAGTTCCAATTAAGCAATTAAAAATCCGCCAACGGCCATCCGGCACACGCAGGGGGATGGATGGCCTGGAACGAGCTGTTGCCAGCTTTTTAATTAAGAAGATGTTAGCGTAATAGGATAGAAGAAGATGCGCTGCGAAAAGCGTAGGTCGAAATGTGCGCCAGCTAATGAAGAAGGCGCCTTTTGTGGTCAGCAGGGTAGTGCGGGGCCAGCGGGAGGGGGGCTGGGCATTTTTCACTAATTGGCTGGGCGGAAAAGCCGCAATGAGGGATGGATGGTGTGTGTGTGTGTGAGGTTTTGGGCACAAGTGGAGCCGTGCCGTTGTTCTTCTGGTGGTTTTCCATTAATTAAAAGGAACTTTTTTTAATGAGTTTTTCCTCTGCATCGCTTCCCCCATGAGTCGGGCCTTCGTTGAACCGTTTTGCTGTTGATTCCCCTGCTGTCCCGTTGTACCGCTGTGACTATTGTTTCCCCTGCCACTGGACGCGCACCAGTCGTTGTTGCCCCTTTGGTTTCCCCTGCCGCTGACTGCCGACGGATGCAATCGGCGCGCCGAGACACAGTTTTCGTATTGCCCGACGAATTCAGGGGCCCAGTCAGTCGATTTTCGAACAGGAGGCCAGCAGCACAGAGGCAGCGGATAACGTTAGAAAGAGAAACTCAACTCTCTGCCGCAGCAGCAACTCAAAACTCCCTCAAATGTTGCCCGGCAGCATGTTGCGAAAAGCTCCAAAGAGAGAAACAAAGCGAGAGAGCAACGGTGTTTGCGTGTGCGTGTCCCATACATGCACATATTCAACATGTGTTGAGAGCAGGTGTCTGGGTGCAAGTGGGATAGCTATATCCCATGTTCACTGACTCACCGTCCATCTCTGTCTGACAACTGTTTGCCAACGTTTTCGGTCGCTTGGCAACGCCCTCGCGCATGCTGGGCGCCTATTTAGCGGCCAGCGCTTGGGAACAAGAAAACGAAAGTGTTGAAGCCGGCATTGCTCCGTAACGGTAGCTCCAGCTCATTGTGGTTGTTGCTACCGCATCCGAGATGTTGTTGCGCGAGCGCCTTGGCATTGGGTCGTCGGTCCGTATGTGTTGCCGGTGCCGTGTGGCGGCGGCCATATGTGATTGGAGGCCATCTACATCTCCATCTCTCATCTTCCATCTCCATCCTGGCCGTGTCCGGGTCTACTGCGACCCCCTCCTACCGCTCTTGAAGGTGTATTTCCCCCTCAGCTCTAATGCTCTACTGCTCTGATAGCTACATAAGTGTTGCCGCCGCTGTTTCTGTCTCTGTTTGCCTGCTGAATTAGCGACGCGCATGACGCGATTCCAATGTCGCCCTCGCCAATGTGGCCGCAACATGTTGGTCCAGGTTGGTAGTGGCTTGCTAGCGGTACTGGACGCCTGCTGGCATCGGGTGAATTCTACGAAATTTGCCTGCCATCAATTGGATCAGTTTGCGCGAGATGTTGCAACCGGCCATGGTGGTGGCTTATTGGAATGAACATTCTAGGAACTTACCCTAGACGGGCAACCAGGCGACCAGCAGACGGCAGCAGCCGAACGACCCAAATTCAACAATGCTCTCCCACTGCATATATTTAGAGTGCGACTAGCTCTTGCTCTCCCTCTTACAGTCTCTCGTTGGTTGGATTTTCATTGCAGTCACAGGAACACCCACACATACGCACATTTTCAAGCAAGGTGGGGAGATACTGCTGCAATTGGCTGTAAGAGCGGGACAACATTATGTACCACCTGTGAGGGGTTCGTTTCTCCGCTGAGCTTTCGAGGGGAAAGCTTCGCTGGGCAAATCGTTTGCCTTCTCTTTCTGCTGATTTCCGATGCGTTTCCCCTCAGATAACCTGGCTCACGCACTGGAATCAGCCCGCGTCCGTCTGTTGGCCGGTGCTCCGTTGTGCATTTTTTGTACAATAAATGCTCCAATTTGGACAGGCGACCATGAATGGGGCGCAGTGTATTGGATGCACTGAAAGTGAACCAGTTCTGGTTCTGGCGGGGACTCTCTCTGCCCTACCCCTCCCGCACCAATATCTGCTTATGGCCGTGCTTTGGTGCTGCTGCTGTTGCTGTTCTTTGTTTGGTTGGGTGTTATTTTATCTGTGCGTTGGTTGGCCGCAGAAGTGTGTGGGAATTCTTTTGCAATTTCCCCTCCAAGACAGTCTATCAGCTGACGGACGGTGACGGGTTCAGAAGTGCAACATTTTAAAAGAGGATCGACGATTGGCGATTGGCATCTTCATATGTACATATATCAAGGGATTTGTTTGCGAATATCCCTAATTGGTGGCACACTGAGGAAACTCACTCAAGAATTTCGAAACGTTCCACGTTTTGCAGCATAAATATTTTCTTTGTCTTTAGATCAGATACCAGAATGTGGGAGATCCTCTCAGATTTCCCCTGAGGTGCCCCTTAGTTCTTCTACTAGAACTACTCTTGAAATATTAGAGGGTTCGCTTGGATTATGTGGGATCAAGGAGAAAAGGAAACTTTTTTTCAAAATGCGGAAATACAACAAAATCTATTTTTAGAGAAAAGAAGAAAATAGGGAAACATCTGTTTTTGTAATACTGGAATTAAAAAAGTATTGACAGTCCCATATTGTCTAGTGGTTAGGATACCCGGCTCTCACCCGGGAGGCCCGGGTTCAATTCCCGGTATGGGAAGTTTATAAAGTGTTTATTTTTGTATTCTCTTTTCTGATCAAAGACTTAAGAAAATATATTTTTGAAGTGCAAAAATAGAAGAAACTTATACTACATATGTACATATGTATGTATGGATGTATTTTCGATCACAAAATTAATATACATGGATATATGTATTTTGCTGTAGCGGTTTTATGTACAATACTAATTCCTGTAGGAAGGAGGAAACAAAATATGCATTCTTGATCAACATCAACTGCCCAGTCGATATAGCCATGACTGTCTATCCGGTCGTCAGTCCCGATGAGCGCCTAGGTCTTACAGACTATACGAGCTAGAGCAACCAAAAACCAAAACGCAGAATCATAGCGAATGACCATATCTAAAAGATTGCCGAGGCTGAATCAGATCGGAGAGCTATTATATTGGATGGGCGGAGAGGAGCGCCAAAAAACGGTTGGTGTTGGTGTGAGAATAGAGAACAAGAGACAGATGTAAGAGCAAGCTCACATATACATATACTAAATGAGTATCGCGTAAATACATATGTAGAGCCGCGGCTAGGGCCGTTCCCACGATCCCACTCGTTTTGATTTAAATGTTAGCACAGGAATGATATACATATGTATGCCCAAGGAAGAGGTTAATCCTTTTTGAGCACACAGGAGTCGGGCTCCAAGAGTACGGGCTGCACCCAATTAACATGTCAGAGCGAGGAGGTGCAAGGGGGAGGTTTCGACGCCAAACAAAGGAATGATAGTCCTAGAGCCCAGTTCTGGACAGCAGGACAATGGATGTGACAGGGACGATTGCCGGGGAGTGTCAAGTGTGGATATTTAAGCCTCAATGCAACTAGCCCCGGAGGCAACCTCTGCACTCTCCTGCACTCATCCGCTCCAACCCAAAAATTCAAAAGAAATAAAATTTTGTCAACAGTAATGTTGGGTTGACTTGGAAGGCTAGAGGAGCGGGGAAAAGGCAGTGCAATGAATATATGGCAACTGCATTGCAGCTGGCCCCCAGGCGGGGGCGTCGGGGACTAACAAAAGAAGCGGCAACTGTACTTGTCCCCCCAGTAAACTCAATTCAGACTCAGCCAGGGCTCAGGCTCAGCCTCAGTCTCAGCCTCAACGGCGTCCCTTCGTTGCTTTTGAGATACACACACACACACACACATACCCTAGACCTAACCCTCCCCGTCTCCCTGGCAAGCCTGCGGCTTCTTTTTTGGCCGCACATTTCAATGCTCCGTCCGGCTAAATGGCGACAAAAAGTAGGCAACACTTTTGTTGTGCCGGAAATGGCATTTAAGCGGATTTCAGCCAAGTGCTAAGCTCACAGGAGGAGGACGAGTGGGGGTGTGGGAGGCGGTGGGGGTTGGGGTGTTCGTTCCTCCCAAAAATAAGGTGAATTCTC